GGTATTTTATTCTTTTGATGCAATTGAAAATGGGATTGTTTTCTTAATTTCTCTTTCTTATAGTTCCTTGTTAGTGCATAAAAAGGCAACAGAGTTTTATATATGGATTTTGTATCCTGCAACTTCATTGAATTTCTTATTAGTTTTAACAGTTTTTTTTTTTTTTTCTTTTTGGTGGAGTCTTTAGGGTTGTCTATAAAACCATATCATCTGCAAATAGTGAAAGTTTTATTTCTTCCTTTCTAACTTAGGTGACTCTTATTTCTTATTCCTGCCTAAGCTCTGACTAGGACTTCCAATATTATGTTGAGTAAAAGTGGCAAAAGTGGTCATCCTTGTCTTTTTCATGGTCTTAAGGGAAAAGCTTTCAGCATTTGAGTATGTTAGTTGTGGGCTCACCATATATGGCCTTTATTATGTTAAGGTACATTCTGTCTATTCCCAATTGAGTGAGAGATTTTTCATAAATGGATATTGATTTTGTCAATTGCTTTTTCTGCTTCTATTGGGATGATAGTATGATTTATTTTTATTTTTATTTTTTTAGAGAGAGGGAGAGTAAGTGTGAGTAAGGGGGGGCAGGGAGAGACAGAATCTTAAGCAGATTCCATGCACAGGATGGAACCCAATGTGGGGCTCCATCTCACAACACTAAGATCATGACCTGAGCCAAAATCAAGAGTTGAACTCTTAACTGACTGAGCCACCCAGGTGCCCCAAGATGATAATGATTTTTTATTTTCATTTTGTTAATGTGGTGTATCACATTGATTGATTTGCATATATTGAACTATCTTTGCATCCTGAAATAAATCCTATTTGATCATGGTTTATGATCCTTTTAAGGCATTGTTAAATTCTGTTTGTTAACATTTTGTGAGGATTTTTGCATCTGTGTTCATCATGGATATTGGCCTATAATTTTCTTTCTTTCTTTCTTTCTTTTGTGATGTCTTTGCCTGGTTTTGGTATCAAGGTAATGCTGGACTCATAAAATGAGTTTGGGAGTTTTCCTTCCTCTTCAATTTTTTGGAAGAGTTGAGAAAAATAAGTTTCAGCTCTTCTTTGAATGTTTGGTAGAATTCACTGGTGAAACCATCTGATCCTGCGCTTTTGTTTGTTGGGGTTTTTTTTATTACTGATGCATTCTCTTTACTAGTAATTGGTCTGTTCAGATTTTATATTTCTTCATGATCCAGTCTTGGAAGATTGTATATGTCTAGGAATTTATCCATTTCTTCTAGGTTGTCCAATTTGTAGGAATATAATTGTTTATAGTAGTCTCTTTTGATACTTTGTATTTCTTTGGTATCAGTTGTAATTTTTCCTCTTTCTTTTCTGTTTTTATTTATTTGCACCTTCTTTCTTTTTATCTGACTGAGTCTAGCTAAAGGTTTGTCAGTTTTGTGTATCTTTTCAAAGAACCAACTGTTAGTTTCATTGATCTTTTTGTTGTCTTTTTCATCTCTCTTTCATTTATTTTTGTTCTGATCTTTATTATTTCCCTCCTTCTACTAACTTTGGGCTTCATTTGTTCTTCTTTTTCTAGTTCCTTTAGATATACAGTTAGATCATTTATTTGAGATTTTTCTTGTTTCTTGAGGTAGGCCTCTATAGCTATGAACTTCCCTCTTAGAATGTTTTTGCTGAATCACATGGATTTTGGTCTGTTTATTTACATTTCATTTCTCTGAAGATATTTTCTGATTTCTCCTTTGATTTTTTCATTGACTTCTTCATTGTTCAGTAGCATATTTTAAAATCTCAACTCATTTGTGATTTTTCCAGTTTTCTTTTTGTAGTTGATTTCTGGTTTCATACCATTGTGTTTGAAAAAGATGCTTGATATGATTTCAGTTTTCTTAAATTTATTGAGACTTATTTTGTGGCCTAGCATATGACCTATCTTGGAGAATAGTCCTTGTGTACTTGAGAAGAATGTATATTCAGCTGTTTGGGGAAGGATTGTTCTTTGTATGTAAATTACTTATCTCCATTTCCTTAAGTTTTTTTCTGGGGTTTTATCTTGGTTTTTTGTTTGTTTGTTTGTTTGTTTAAAATATATTCCTCTAGTTCCTCATTTTGTTTAACTCTCTGCGTTTGATTCTGTGGGTCAGGTGAAACAGCTATCTTTCTCAGTCATAAAGTGGTGGCCCTGTGTGGGCAATGATCCTTACCATTTAACTTTGCTCTAGTCATTAGCTGTTTCTTGAATTGTCTCTCCAGTTGTTTCAGACTTATGGAGCCCAGAAATACAGTCCCTCCTGGCTACCAAAGCCCAGGACTCAAGGGGAATCCCTTGTGTGGACTGTGCATGGAAGGACTATGGGGAGGTAGAGTGCTGCCTGCTCTTTCTGGGGGGCTGCAGTAGTGGAATGGGGGGCTTTCACCTGCCTCTGGCAAGGCTGCAGCATCAGTGTGGTTGGGTGGGTGGGCACTCGCTGGGTGGATTGATAGTGCAAAAATAGCACCCACTAGTGCTAGCACTAGCAAAGTAGAGGAAGAATGCAAAAAATTTTTGCAGTTTTCTCTGGAGAGATTTCCAACAGGCTTTTGCGTCTCTGGTGGAATTTTTAAGATTAGCAAGTGAATCTCCTTTGCATATGGTCTGTCTTTTGAAACTGCTGCTTTTGCCCTGGGCCCTGGGGTGAGTGAGTTTGTGTATGAGATCTTTAAGAGTAGACTTTCTATTCCCTACATCCCTATTCTCTTGGATTTAAAACCCATTGGTTTTCAAAACCAGATGTTTTGGGGGCTCATCTCTAGTACACATCATGAGAATTGGGGTGCCTGATGTTAGACACAAATCTTTCTCTCCCTGGGAAGGAGTTCCACATTTGTGAGACCCTTCCTGATGGTGAGTCACTACACCCTGCTGGGGTTTTTGGTAAGACTAGGTCTCTGCTTCTGCTACCCATCTCAACATGGCCTTTTTATCCTTTGTTGTAGAGTAATTTTTCATCTAGTTATCAAGTTCCTTTCAGAGGGAATTGTTCCATATGTAGCTATAGATTTGTTGTATCCGTGGGAGGAGGTTAGTTCAGGATCTTCCTATGCTGCCATCTTGAACCACCTCTGGCAAAGGTTGCTTTAAAATTCAGCTTAGGAATTAATAAATTTTCACTAGGGAAATCTTCCCTTTCTTTATTATTGATAAGGCTTATTTATTTAAAACAGTAAAAATAATATTGATAAAGGTAAATAAAAGCTAGAAAATTATTGTTTCTAAATCAAAAGCCTAGAAAAACTTATTAGGTAGTTGAGAAAATATAATTTTTAATATCTTTTATATTAATTGTGGAAGTACAGTGGAGAAATTGGGACTTGCACAGGTAAGTTATGACTACATCAACTAAGACAACTTCCCTAACTGACTCGTAACAATTGGTCTAACAACTTTTTACACTCATGTATTATATATTTTTATAGAGTCTAGATTGTGCTTAGGAATTACAAAAACTAGAGGGAGATGCACAATTTAGTGAGAAAAAATGTTTATAGGGAACTCTTAATACTTTAATTGTGGGACTTGAGAGTTTAGGTTTTTATTAGTTTTGAACGTAAATCCCAGAAGGGCACATGAGGTCATTTTGAAGCCTATATTTGCTGCTCAAAAGATCATGATCTGCCAAATTAAGTGAAAGGAAAAGGGGATCATCCTGGCCATGTCATTCATGCCTCATGGCACTGGAAACATCTGTTGGAGTTGGCAATGGGCCAATCAGGGACTTCTCCAAAAGCAAAGTCTAGTGACAACTTTTAGGAGGAAGAGATGAAACCATTTAGGGAAATTCTTATATAGTGTGGCATTTTTCTCATTTCTACTACAACATCATCTTTATAATCCTTTCACAAGTAATTTTATTTTTACCATTTAAAGAACATAAATTAAGCATTCATGATGAAATTTCCAGTAGTACAAATTAAATAGATGTTGAATTGTGTATTCTTTCATTTTTTTTGAATTTGTTAATATATATGTTTCTAGCCATGAAAATGTAGGCCTCAAATTTTGACCCATTTTAGTTATAATATTTAGAATTTTTAGAGTTCTAACTACAGATAAGGCCAATAATGTTCTTCATAGAATAAAACAAAATGATCACATTTTTATCTGTACCTGGTTGTTTTTGTTTTAACCTTTATTTGTTATTTGAGTTTTTCTGGTATTTTATATGAAAATGATTACAGATTCATTTATATTTATATACTAATAAATAAGTCCCAAATGTCAGGAGAGACAGCTCAGCCCCTCAGTTTATGTATCTTCTCACTCCTATTACAGATATTGAGCTTCAATGGAAACACTAGAATGTTCTTAATAACAACATAGTAATAAAATAGAAGGTTTTTTTTTTAAAGATTTTATTTATTTATTTGACAGAGAGAGACACAGCGAGAGAGGGAACACAAGCAGGAGGGAGTGGAAGAGGGAGAAGCAGGCTTCCCACTGAGCAGGGAGCCTGATGTGGGGCTCGATCCCAGGACCCTGGGATCATGACCTGAGCCAAAGGCAGACGCTTAACGATTGAGTCACCCAGGTGCCCCAGAAGTGGTTTTTAATAGTACTTTAAAACATTCATGAGATTAAATAATAGTCAAGTAGATTAATATATAAGTAAGCTATCATGTTTCCAATACTGTGAGTGCAGTTGTTATAGAACTATAACAAAAAAGTAGCTTCACAAGAGGGGGGTAAAGATGGACCAAATTTAGGCTCATTTTAGCAAATTCCAGGAGATATATTATACTCCCACAATAAGAGAATAAAGTTGCATTCACAATGTAAAGAATACATTGTGCAATTAAACTAATACTGACAACATAAAATGTAGTTGACATCTCAGGTTAACACGCAAGAGGATGGTCTTTTATCCGTTATAATATTAAGGGGGTAGAACTTTTGTTAATAAAGCAGGGGGCCTTCCTTTCCTGATAACCTCCTGATTTTTGGAAAGAAAACATGTGTACATTACATTTGTGTTTTTCTTCCTGTTTAGAACCAAATGATGAGTTATGGATTGGCTTAAATGACATCAAGATTCAAATGTATTTTGAGTGGAGTGATGGGACCCCTGTTACATTTACTAAATGGCTTCGTGGGGAACCAAGCCATGAAAACAACAGGCAGGAAGACTGCGTTGTAATGAAAGGCAAGGTAAGGCAACTTTATTTGCTGATATCTAGCAAAAACCAGAGGGTATTTTTCTTCCTGCCTCACTCACTACATATCATTTTGATTGTTTCTAGTCTAGGTGATCTATCTATATTTCAATTGTTTAGCAAAGTCAAATTTTCAAGAGGACTAGAAAACCAACAGGCAGAAACTTTCAGTTCAAGGATGAAAGTAACCAGTAACCCATATTCATCTGGTTCCTGTGCTGGGTTCTCAGTGGCAATACATATAGCTTGACTTATCAAATGAGAGCTTTGGTTTTATTTTTGACTGGTTGCTCTGAGTAGATGTTCTTAGGTCTATTCTGGGTTCCACAATCTGCAGTCTGTGCTTGGAGAGCTACATTTGTTCTTTTAGGTTACATGGAGATGTCGCATATGAAAAGATGGCATCCATGTCCTAAATATGACTTTAGTGACTGAAGAATATCATCAAATTATCTTTTGCTAATGGATAATGAACATGGTGGTTGAGAGGCTGGGTTTTGATGCATGGCTTATTCTCTCCAGAATAAGAGAGATGGCATGGCTTCTGAAACTTAATGGTTTCAGAAACTTAGTTTAACACTAAGTTTAACCTATTCAATCCTTATAGCCACCATTAAGCTGGGTACAATTGTTGATTGAATAGGTTAATGCATATAACAAGCACAGTGACTGACCCAAACTTATTGTTCAGTAGGTATTAGCTGTTTCGTCATTGGGGTTGTTTTCATTGTGATTAATTGAAAGCTTAAGAAAAAAGTAGGTGTTAACTATTGAAAGGATAGGCAGAAGTGTGTCCTAGGAAGAGGAAACCAGGAAACATCATTCTTGTAAAGAACTGAAAGACAATATGGCTGAAAGCCCAGAGTTAGAGGTGGAAGGGTGGGTAGGAACACTAGCGAGTGTTGAGGTGGAGAAAATATGCCTTAGCCCAGGAGTGGCAAGAACAATTTTTCAATTTAGAAATATTACTCTGGCTGAAAGTTGAGTACCAGATGGCAGTGGGTTGCAACTGAGTGATAAATGAGGGATCAGAGGCAGACAATATAGAAAACATTTTTCAATAGTTACATGAGGGAGAGGAGAGGCCATTTTGATGTGAAGTCTCTCAGGAAGGGGGAACAGGTAGAATCTGAAGCTGAGCGGGAAGTAGAGCCTTAGATCCAGGAGGACAGTCATTAATATGAATTGGAAAAGGGAAGAGAGATGACTGGTTTTGGGGTGTTTTCAAGTTTGGTGTGTTGGGCAAAGGAGTTTTTCTGGATGGCTCTCTATGTACTTGGTTAACTTGAAAACAGCCAACAGGAGAGGCTGCGTGTAGACCTTCTTTTGGCACCATCACTTCAAGGCTTACAAACTTTTTTAGTTTCTCTCTAGATTCCTCTACACAGTGGCGAGGACAGCCAAAATATAAAAACATATTGGGGGTCTGCAATCTCCTTTCACATCTTTGTAGCCAGAACCAAATTTGCTGTTGACTTATAAAATGTCAATTTACCTTTCCTTTCAGAGATGCTATTTTTCTCTTAAGAACTTTTGTTTTCCTTTCCTGAGGCCCAATTACAAGAAAACAGTCTCAGAGTCAAACAACTGATAATCAAACATTTTTTTCTCTTTGCTTTCTGCAGGATGGGTACTGGGCAGATCGGGCCTGTGAGCGACCTCTTGACTACATCTGTAAGATGAAATCTCAAACCCAACCCTCGGGAACAGTGGAGGTAGAACAAGGCTGCCAAAAAGTAAGTATTGAGCATGCACAGTAAGTTCAGACCTCAAAACATTATGTGATATCTTGGATTTATTTTTTGGCAGCAGAAGAGTTTTATTATTGTCATAGCCAAGTGTTCTAGCTGTTTAGATGTTCAACAGGTTCTTGTTAGGGTTTGGCATCATTGTTCTTCCTGAAGGCCTCTTTGAGTGTTCTCTACAGTTACCATGGGTGCATGTGGTCAGCAGACTTTCAGAACACCATGGGAATTCTCCCACCCCAATGCGGGAGCGAGAACAGAGAATAAAAGCACACACCCAGGGAGCCTGGTGAGGGTAATGAGATTCAGGTGGGTTATGGTCATGGAAGAAAGGTCATTGAAGCCTTGGTAGTTGATGATCCATCCTATGGGTTGTAGAAACATTTCCAGTAGATAACCATTAAGTTTCAGATAGCAAACTATCCTGTCATTTTCTCCATTTATAAGGACGTCCTCCATTGAGGACGCTGCTTCTGATGGGGATTCCTCCCAATAGATCCCTGTAGCAAGAGGCGGGAGATCAAACTAGCTGGTGGTAGCCAGCAGTAACCAGTTACACTGAATAAAGCCATGCCATCTTAGTATCTATCAATCTTGCCTGTACCTCAGTACTACCTCCCTCTAGCTCTTAAAATTCTTTGAGGTTGAAGTAAATGATCTCTTTGAAACAATTTCTAACAGCATAAAGAAACTACAAAATACAGGGTGTATGGTTATCATTTTCCTGTTTAACTGCTGAGTTGCTTGTCTTCCTCTTTTTTCCTTTCTCACTTCTCTTGGATAAAAATAAAGTAGAAACTAATTTTCTTTCCAAGCATGTCATGTTGTGATCAGATCATCCTGTCACAAACACCAGAAGGCTGAGAGTTCATGAAACATAATTTAGGACTGTCCAAATAAATCATCAAGAAACATCAAGCAGACACAAAATCAGAGACTGTTAGAGATATAGGGGATCTTTGAGATAATTGAAATCCCCCCTTTAATTTTTATGTTCTGAAAATTCAGCCCAGAGAAGCTATGACTTTCTTGGAGTGACAGAAGCAAGGCTAGAACCCCGGTCTCCTGACCCCACATCTCTACGCTGAAACTAATGGGTTCCCTACCAGTGTATTTACATATTCTTTGCCTAATCATATGGATATACGAGTGAGTGTATATTATTGTAATTTTATATAAAGAAGAAATAATCCTTAAATGTTATTACTTCTATACAATTGATCAAAGTTTGTATACATGTAACAGTTTATATAGATAATAAGTTATATATATATAGTCTAGTAATTGTCATATCTACAATGTCTGATAAAATCCAGTTTAATCAGTAGGGTGGTAATAAGAAAAATAAGACAACATCCATAACTCTTTGTTGAGTGTAGTTACTATGCTGCCAATGATCTTAAAGGATAAATATTGTGTTCCTAATTAGACAGAAGGGGAAACTGAAGCTCAGAGGCATTAAATAATTTGGCCAGTTTAAAAATACCTGCTGCTGCGTTCTACATGGAGCACTGGGTGTTATGCACAAACAGTGAATCATGGAACACTACATCTAAAACTAATGATGTAATGTATGGGGATTAACATAACAATAAAAACATTTAAAAAAATAATGATAAATTAAAAAAAAGGAAAAAAAAAAAACCTGCTGCTGTAGGTTGCTTTCCTCAGAGGGCTGGGAAGACTCGAACAACAACAACAAAAATCCACTCACTAGCTAAGAAAGATAACGAGACTTTTTTTTCTTTCTTTTTTTTCTGTCTGGGCCTGGGCACTCGGTGATGTGGGGACCTTTTTGAGAATTCAAAACCATAGGCGTGTTATAAAGATCTGGGGTTCAGTTTTCAATTCACTGCTACCTTTGTGGGATATCTGGGGCAAAGTGGTCCTGAGTCTCTGAGATTCCAGGATGTCTGACAGATGCAAATGTTAAGCTATTTTATACAGAAGCTCCCTTTTCCAGGCTGAGGAGGAATCCCATGGATGAGTTTGAAATCTGAAATTATAAAATCTACTACCAGGAGCTTTAGATGGTAGGATTAATGGATGTGACATTCACATGAATGTGTTTTTAAATACAGAAATGAAAGGTGAACTTGGAACCCTGGACCAACGAACCAAGTTTTCTTATCGAGTGCTTTCATTATGATTCACTTCCAAATATTTTTAATTTCCATTAAGATTTCTTTGATCCTTGGGGCGCCTGGGTGGCTCAGTTGGTTGGGCGACTGCCTTCGGCTCAGGTCATGATCCTGGAGTCCCAGGATCGAGTCCCGCATCGGGCTCCCTGCTTGGCGGGGAGTCTGCTTCTCCCTCTAACCCTACCCCCTCTCATGCTCTCTGTCTCTCATTCTCTCTCTCTCAAATAAATAAATAAAATCTTAAAAAAAAAAGATTTCTTTGATCCTTGAATTATTTAGGTGTGTGTGTGTGGGTGGGTGGGTGTGTTGATATTGGTTGGGGGTTTTGGTGGTAATGATGGGAATTTTGTTTTTCAGTTTCTAAATAATTAGAGACTATTGATTTCACTGCACTGTGGATCATAGAGAGTTTTGGTTGTCGTTACTTGTTGAGACTTTATGGTCTAGTTCATAGTTTTTGTAAATAATCAGTGTGCTTGAACAGAATGATCTTTGCTTTTTCAGTTCAGGGTCCATATACGTTGACTAGGAAAAAGCTTAACAATTTATATTATTTTAGATGTTCTATATTCCTAATATTTTGTCTGCTCGACAAAATATTCTCCTTGCGATTCTGTCAGTTTTTGTTTTATACACTTTCATCTGTGTCATATCTTCCTGATACATCAGACCTTTAATTATGTAATTACTTTCCTTATTCATATTGCTTTTTTTTAACCATAAAGTCAATTTTAAATAATATCAATATTGCCACAGAAGCTATCTTTTGCTTGGTATTTCCCTAGAATCTCTTTTTCCAACTAATTGCTTTTAATTATTCTGTGTCATGGGATGGCTCTTGTAAATATATATCAGCATTTTTATTTTTTATCTCATTTGAGGAACTCTGTCTTTTTATTGGCAAACTTGAGTTCAGACTTTTTTTTGCATACTGATATATTTGCATTTGTTTCTACCATCTTATTTTGAATTTTATTTTATTTACTGTTCTGATTTCTTTTCTCTCGTTTGTCCTGTCCTGCATTCCACTGGTTCTATTGAATGTTTTGATCCCATTTTCCTCTTCTACAGGTTTATGAATAATACATTCCACTTTTTTTTTTTAATGGTTAACCTTGGGTTTTGTGTTTTTTTAAAAAAGATTTAATTTATTTATTTGAGAGAGAGAGAGAGAGAGGTCACAAGCAGTGGGGAGGGGTAGAGGGAGAAGCAGGCTCCCTGCTGAACAGGGAGCCGGATGCGGGACTCAATCCCAGGGATCATAACCTGAGCTGAAGGCAGACGCTTCACCGACTGAGCCACCCAGGCGCCCTAACCTTAGGTTTTTAACATACAATACTGACTTGAAGTTAATCAGTATCTCTCTCTGCTTCCTGAACAAAATGAAGTTTATTATTCCACGTAAACATTAACATTTTTTTTATCTTGGAAATAATGTGAGACTCAGAAGGAACTGAAAAAGAAAGTACAGAGAATTCCCTGTACCATCTACTCTCCTCCCTGCAGTGAGAACTTAGGTAACTAGAGTTCGAACAGCTACGTAATTGACATGGGTACAGTATATTAAGGAAACTATACATCTTGTTAATTTCCCATTCCTTAACTTCCCACCTGCAATTAGTTATCTCTGCTATTCATACAGACATTTAGACCTGGATTCACTAAGACATTTATTGGTTTCTTTGTTCAGTGTGACTTTCAGGCTGTTTATTCCTCCTGACTTAAAATTCCTTCTTGCCAAAGTAAATCTTTTCGTGATTTTTTTTCACTGGTGATATGGGAGTGGAACACTTTCTGTCTTTATCTGAAAATGTTCTGATCCCTCCTCACCTTGCATAATAATTTAGGTAGGTTTTAAAATGCTAGGTTGACAGCAATTTTCAGACAGCGCTGTGTATATATCATTTCATTTTCTCCTGGCTTTATTTTTTGCCATTGGAATTCCTGATATTAGGCTAATTCTTCTTTTTTAAAAGTGGGTACTCTATTTTCTCTCTGATTGATTTTAAGATCTACTAATTGTCATTCTGCAGGCTTTTAGTGCAATATGTTGAGATTTGGATTAATTTTCTTTTGTTTGGTACTCATTGTGTTTCATTTTTAGAATTTGTCTCTTTTAATTCTTGAAAATTATCAGTCATTAATTTTATTTGATGATTCTGAAACTTTTCTTAGGTTGATTTTCAACCTTTTCATTCTATTTTTTGTTTTCTCTCCATCTTTAAAAAATCTCTTTTCATATGTTCATCTCTCTGTTACATTCATTCAAATGACTAATCTTTCTGAAACCATATTTTCTATATTTAATCTGGCCCTTGAGTTTTTAACTTTATATTTTTCTTTTCTAGAAATTCTATTTTTTGTGTGTTCAGATCATCTTGTCCTTTGTTCAGAGCATTTTGATCTTTCATTATTGATTTTCCTTCTTTTGTCTTCTTTTGTTAAATCATCTGAAACATGTTTTTTGTTTTTTAAAGATTTTATTCCTTTATTTAAGAGAATGAAAGAGAGTACATGTGGGATGCAGGGGCAGAGGGAGAAGAAAAGCAGACTCCCCACTGAGCAGGGAGCCCAACGTGAGACTCGATCCCAGGACTCTGAGATCATGACCCGGACTGAAGACAGATACTTAACTAACTAAGCCACCCAGACACCCCTGAAACATGCTTATATATATATATTTTTTTCCAGATTGTTTTATTATATTACATTGCTGTCTTTCCCTTAAAATGAGCCTCATGTGGTTTGTAATTTTTGGCTGTGATTAGTCCCCATCCCATCCCCACCCTAAGCCTCAAATGTCATAGTCTTATGTGACCTGTGTTGTGGAAATATTTCTATTGTGTGGTTCTGCATTTTACTTTTCTGAGTGCCTAGGAATTTCTCCTTTTGTAGACAAGATTTATCTTATGTTTTTGGCTGTGGATTCTAGTACAATGTGAATAGTGTCAAATTGGAACCAGCACCCATCTCTGGCACAGAATCCATATTTATTTATTTTTATTTATTTATTTATTTTATTTATTTTTTAAAGATTTTATTTATTTATTTGACAGAGAGAGAGAGACAGCGAGAGCAGGAACACAAGCAGGGGGAGTGGGAGAGGGAGAAGCAGGCTTCCCACCGAGCAGGGAGCCCGATGCGGGGCTCGATCCCAGGACCCTGGGATCATGACCTGAGCTGAAGGCAGACGCTTAACAACTGAGCCACCCAGGAGCCCCCAGTATTTATTTTTAACAGAGGATTTTTTTTTCCCCTGCACCTAGAACCCCAGGCAGATGACAAGAATCTGCTATTGTCTGGTTTTGTGAATAGAGTTTTCTGTCTCCTTTCCCATAGGGGCTCCCCTTAGTGGGTATCATCTTTTTTTAAAAAGGGGTTTATTTATTTATTTGAGAGAGAGAGAGAGAGTGAGCATGAGCAGGGGGAGGGGCAGAGAGAGAGAGAGAATCCTGAAGCCAACTCCCCAGTGAGCATGGAGCCTGACGTGGGGCTTGATCCCAGGACCCTGAGATCATGACCTGAGCTGAAATCAGGAGTGAGCCGCTTATCTGACTGAGCCACTCCGGCGCCGCAATGGGGATCATCTTTATGTAAGGACTTCAGTTCCATTTCCCTGCCTCAAGTGGGCTGATGGACAAATACCCTCATTTGTGTGGACATTAGTACCCCTTCCTCTAGAGCCTAGTATCCTAGTCTAGGTCTGGTACATATGGGGCAACGATAGTCTTGGCTTGAGCATTTCCCATTCTAGTGTTTTAGTTTTCTATATGTTTTTGGTATCTGAAGATTTCCTCAAATATGGATTTTTTGTTTATTGTTATGTTTTTATTTAGCATTTCCATGTGTTTGAAGTATGGGAGAGAAATCATGCCGAATCACGTTGCCAGGAGTTTGATAAGTATTGTCCTAGGACCAGATGACACAGCTTTATAGTCACTACCTACTTTTGGCTTCAGTAGGAAACTAGGTCTGCTACTCGGCAAACTGTTTCCTGTGGTTACCTATTCTAATACAGAAATCTTAGCCATTCTGTTCAGGTTCCTCAGTATGCATTTCACAAATCACTTTTGTTGGAAGATGTATCAGGAGGGGAGAGAATGAATGCCCTGACCCATTTTGTGTCATAAGAGGAACAATGTACTACTGTTTTCTTTATTCATATAAATATTTTTCATTGCATTTCAAATTTTCCGTATTTGGGTTCTCTACATACTTCTGTGATTTATAAATGTATGTTTCATGATATGTGTCATGATAGTGCAATTATTAAAATAATATTATTTAATTAATATCCCTGATAATCTGCTTGATAACATTAATAGGGCTGGAAAAGACATGGCTTCTACTGCTATTTGATTGGACACACACTTTCAACATTTATGGAAGCAAATCAAACCTGTCTAAATGAGAAGGCTTACTTAACAACTGTTGAAGACAGGTATGTAACTATTTTAATTTTATTTGAATGTATGTCAAATAATAAAATGTTTTCAGAGAAGCCTAAATATCAACACACTCTAAATTTCTGTAAATTTCTCTAAATTCTATAAATCAACATGCTCTAAATTTCTGTACATCTTGAGATATGGCTTGCAAAAGTAGGAGCATTAAAAATCATATCCTTATTTGGATTCTTCATTGCAGCACTATAAAATATTTTGTTCCTTTTAGAACTATAAAGCAATATTCAGAACAGTTCATTAATATTCTAGTAAATATAGTTTGTGGATCTGACTTTTTTTCTGATCTAGTATATATCAAATTTTTTCAAGAAGGGAAACTAAGTGTTGGCGGGGATGCGGAGAAAGGGGAACCCTCCTACACTGTTGGTGGGAATGCAAGCTGGTGCAGCCACTCTGGAAAACTGTATGGAGATTCCTCAAAAAGTTGAAAATAGAGCTACCATATGATCCAGCAATTGCACTACTGGGTATTTACCCCAAAGATACAAAAGTAGGGATCCGAAGGGGTACATGCACCCCGATGTTTATAGCAGCAATGTCCACAATAGCCAAACTGTGGAAAGAGCCAAGATGTCCATCGACAGATGAATGGATAAAGAAGATGTGGTATATATATACAATGGAATATTATGCAGCCATCAAAAGGAATGAGATCTTGCCATTTGCAATGACGTGGATGGAACTGGAGGGTATTATGTTGAGTGAAATAAGTCAAACAGAGAAAGACATGTATCATATGATCTCACTGATATGAGGAATTCTTAATTGCAGGAAACAAACTGAGGGTTGCTGGAGTGGGGGGTGGGGTGGGAGGGATGGGGTGACTGGGTGATAGACACTGGGGAGGGTATGTGCTCTGGTAAGCGCTGTAAATTGTGCAAGACTGTTGAATCTCAGATCTGTACCTCTGAAACAAATAATGCAATATATGTTAAGAAAAAAAAAAGAAGAAGAAGGTAGCGGGAGGGGAAGAATGAAGCGGGGGAAATCGGAGGGGTAGACGAACCATGAGAGACGATGGACTCTGAAAAACAAACTGAGGGTTCTAGAGGGGAGGGAGGTGGGAGGATGGGTTAGCCTGGTGGTGGGTATTGAGGAGGGCACATTCTGCATGGAGCACTGGGTGTTATGCACAAACAATGAATCATGGAACACTTCATCTAAAACTAATGATGTAATGTATGGGGATTAACATAAGAATAAAAAAAAACTAAAAAAAAAAAAAAGAAGGGAAACTAAGTAAAATTTATTAGTTCAAAAATGCCGCTTTCTATCTTTACCAGTATCTCCACCAAAAAATGTGGTAGAGAGATTTACTGAATATTTTGTTATTCCTTTACATTCTTCTGGGTTTTTGTTGCTGTTGTTTGTTTTTGTTTCCTTTTTTTTTTTTTTTGCTTTGCTAGGTTTGTTAGACTGATAGGTCCAGAAAAATCAAAATCACATAGACATAGAGCATTTTATATAACTTTTTGACTTCTAGAGTCCCAACCATCTTTGAAGTTTTAGTTTTTATTTATTTTTCCCTTAATCTTTGCAAAGCACTGGATTAGGCATGGAATAAACTTAAAAGAAATTTTAAAATGTGCATTTGACTTGTAATAAAAAGGTAAAAAGGTATCTAGTTTTAATACAATAAGTTATATCTATTGGCCTTTCAAGGCATACCCAATAAAATGTAAAGAATGCTATTGATATGAAAAAATACCTTGATAAAACCAAAAAAAGGAAGATATAGAATTTGTATAGTCTTTGTAAAAGAGCTTGTAGTTCAACCATATCCTTTTTCATGTACAATTAAATGTCTAATATATTGTAGCACACATATAATGCTAATGTCTGAAAATCTGAACGTAGATAATTTTTATCTTATGACAAGATGAACTTTACATCTTTAAGTACTGTGGGAACATATTCTTAGCTGCCCTGTAATTGATCTTTTGGTTCATTGGAGCAGAGATTTCCCTACATTTTATATTTTAGGTTTGTTTTGCTTTGTGTTTTCTTGATACTTATATTCAGGAGCTCACTAACTCTGTGGTTAAATTTGTTTCTAGACATTTGAGAAAAAGTGAGTTTAGGACTTTTAAATTTTTTTGTTTGTTCAATAATTTAGGGAATGAAATTACTCAGATTAGGGTCATATAAATGTTCTGTTATGGTAACCTCTACATTTCCCTCTCTGCTCTCTCTGGAGTCATCTACCTCTCTTTGTTCCTGGAAACTTTGAGTCCCACTTTTTTTTTTTGCTCCAAAGAAAGATTTTTGCCTACATTGCTGCCTTATTGTGTAATGTTTGTCCGTGAAGACAAACTTTGGTTGCTTTACTAACCAAACTGTGTCATTACCAGATTATGCCAAATACATGGATGAGATCCAAAGGGAGAGAAAATGTGGGACTCTGCTCCCAGTTCTTTCTAGAGATTGAATCTCTGCCTCTCTATTTTTCTCAATAATTTTCTCTTCTGTTTCAGACCTGAGCTGAGAGAATAAAATTGAGGGGGAAATCTGCACAGATTTTTCTATCTCTATCATCCTTGATAATGTTATGACCTTACGATTTACTTAACAAGAACTGTGTAGAGCATTTGAAATATTTGGAAAGTGGACTAATTTTTTAAACAATGTCTTTTGAAATGCTGTAGTTTTCTCCTTTGCCATTTCAGAATTCTTTTACATTTTGAGGAAGGGCAGCGGGGCTAGTGAGGAATAGAGAGAAATGGTTTGAGTATATTTGAATTTTATTCAGTAGGCTCTTTGATATTTACCCCTCGTTTCCTTAGTAGAAATTCGCATAATTTAAATGATCTATCCACATAACACAAGATGTTTGGATTACCAACTAAATCATAACTCAAACATACAACTGAGATACCTTTCATGTGGCTAATTGGAAAAATTCACATTTCTAAAATTTAGTTTTTTTTTCTTAAGATATGAACAAGCCTTTCTGACTAGTTTGGTTGGATTGAGGCCTGAAAGATATTTTTGGATAGGACTTTCGGATGTGCAAAACAAAGGGACCTTTCAGTGGACCATTGAGGAAAAAGTTCAGTTCACCCACTGGAATTCAGATATGCCAGGTATGTGCAGTGCTTGGGGCTGAGGTTTTCATTCACCCTACAAGTCCATTATCCTTCCATGTACCTTTCCAGATAGATTGTGTGCATTAATTATGTTCTCAGCATTTTATATTTCATTCTCTCTCTCTCTTTTTTAGTTTTCTAATTAGTTTACATTGGTCTGAGAAAACAGGGAAGATAAAACTACTCATTGTCTGCTACTACTCTGTTTGAAAAATATTTAGGAAATCCTAAATGGCCACAGATGTTCCAAGTGGTTAGCTTATTTCTGTATACTTAAAATTATATGAAAGGGATTTAAAACTTTCGAGTGCAATGATGAATGGAATTCTTAGTGGGCTTCTGTGGTGGGCCAAGGAGTCGTGTGCGGTTCCACATGGAACGCATTATTCCACTGTCTTGTATGTACCGCCTTGTTTAGGCTTTTATATATCCTGGATTTTATTTTATCCTTATAAGAAACCTGCCAGGTAAGTTGAAGTAGCTTCATTTTAAAGATGTGGAAGCTAGAACTCAGAAAATGTATGTGACTAGAAATACTCCAAGCGTGGATTTAGGCTAGTCCGTGTGATTCCCAAACTTGCCCAAACACCACCGTACCTCCCTATTAGTTTGAATTTGCCTTCCCTAGGAAGTAGTTCTGGAAATAGCCTCTGAAATATGGTTTACCTTCTTTATACACTGATATCACAGCATATGACATTATTCAGTGTGACACCATCCGGAAATTCTATACCCTTTATAGCAAATATTTTGTTGTGTCTTCGCTAAAAGCTAAAGCAAGACCTTTAGCTCAAGTGCATGAATTTACTACTTGGCCTCATAAGTCTTAATCTTCAGAAGTCCTTTTAATTTGTATTCTCAAATTATGGACAAATAAGGAAAATAGATAATAATTTGGATAGTGTGATTCTTGGTGAATTATTGAATGTTCTGAAAGGCAGTATGATCTCAGTTTATTTTAAAATTAACTGGGCAGGATATTAAGAACTGAGTATACACTTTTTTTTTTTTTAACATCAGTAGGAGGGGTAATTCTTACTCTCTAGGCCAAACTCCTTATTTTTACTGGTGGTGCTCATTCAGCAGTGGGACTCTGAGAGATTAATCTTGGAATGTCCTTAGGGAATAAAAATGGATGAAATCAAAGCCATAGAGGATCAGAGATCTTAGAGAAAATGTTTTGGAAAAGATGTACCTCCCCAGAACTTTGAGAGTTACCTCTAAACACTTAATGTCCATTAAGAGAATAATAATAAAAGATGATATCATTCTAGCAGCAAAAACTCCTGCTGTTTTCAAAGTTCCATCTTAATGAATTACTATTAGGAAATAATCACAACTGTAAAACAGATTTATAAATTATTAAGCTGACTTTAGTCCTCATTTTATGTACCTTTTTATCCACTCAAGCTGGCCCTCATGACAGCTCTGTAAGGTAGGTAGTGATACTTGCATTTTAAGGTGAGAAAACAAGTCCAAGGTAGTTGCATATTTAATGAATAACTAAAATCTCTAGCTCAGTTGTATTTCATTTTGGAGTGTGTGAAGAACTTCTGTTCTGAGAGACCTACAGGGGCCCTGTGGGGGGAAAAATGGCTTTTAAAAAAATTAAACCACTATTTTTGCCACTATGGTAAACTTTATCATACTAAAATTATTATATTGTTAAATATCTAAATGGGGACACCCTGACAGATGTCAGAAATACAAAATGTTATCAAAACCCTGACATAGGGGATCAAAATTCTGATAGGGATGTAGGCCACACAAATAAAAGGTAAGTAACAGTTCAGAATAGCATAAATGAATTGCCAAATGCTGCCGGATTTCTCCTCTATATTTTCTCTTCACATGCAGACTTTTTTTTTTAAGAGAAAGATTTTATTTATTTATTTGTCGGAGAGAGAGAAAGAGGGCACAAGCAGGGGTAGTGGCAGGCAGAGGGAGAGGGAGAAGCAGACTCCCCACTGAGCAGGAACCCGATGTGGGACTCCATCCCAGGACCCTGGGATCATTACCGGAGCTGAAGGCAGACCTTTAGCCAACTGAGCCACCCAGGCGCCCCTCTTCACCTCAGACTTTACCATGTAGTTTCACAGTCTGGTTTGTTCTGTCTTCTGCGAACATGATCAGCCATCAGTAGCACCTGTTAAGTGAATTCTACTTTACGTATTTAATACAGGGCGGAAAACAGGATGCGTTGCCATGAGAACTGGAGTTGCAGGGGGCTTGTGGGATGTTTTGAGATGTGAAGAAAAAGCAAAATTCGTGTGCAAACACTGGGCAGAAGGAGTCACTCGCCCGCCGGAGCCCACGACAACTCCCGAACCCAAATGTCCAGAGGATTGGGGCACCAGCAGTAAAACAAGCTTGTGTTTCAAGGTGAGTATCAACTGCTAAGCTAATGAAGAATGTGGAATATGTTTCGGCCTAAAGAATCACGTGAGGAATTAAAACAGAACCCAAAACCACGGTGCTCAGGCTCAACCAGTAGAAATTCTAATTTTATTAATCTGGAAGGGGAGCCGGGTTTCAGTTTTTGAAAAAGCTCTCCTTGGATGCATGCTAATGACCAACTGCATTTAGACCCACAGACACTCACGGAAGCTTTCTTCACACACTTTGCCTTCATCACCCTCCCTCTGTCTCTCCTCTCTCCCAAGCTTCCTTGCCTTAGTCTGAGTTCCCACCTCTTTGCATCTTAATGAAACTTTCTGGTTCCCCTCCTGCTCTCCCACTGCATTTCATTTTGCCCTGTTCTTAGAGCCCAAGGGCTTAGGTAAGTGCATGATCATGCCACATAGGCATCCTAGAGGTAATGCTCCCCTGGTTGTTATGCCTGCTGGGAGAGTGAGGCTTGGCTAGGGAGGGGCACGTGGCTGTTCTGGGCCCTTTAAATGATAATTTGATATTCTGCTATCATTTTATCCATTCCAAGGTCACACCATCCATTTTCTCCTTAGGGAGTCAAGTTGACCAAAACAAATGAGACAAAAACCTCAATGAATTATGCATTGGGGTTTTTTTTCACTCTTGTAAGGCATATCCTTTCTTGAGAAGGTTAGATTTAGTCAAATACAGAAATGTGCTTATCTACTGCTTGATGATACTCTTCTCTAGTGTCCCACTCTCAGGACCTCTTTCATTCAGTCCCTTTGGTGGCATATGGCCATGGCATGCCTTGTAAGATAGGGAAGGTTGAGGGAAAACTTGAATTACTAACATGTATCAGAATGAGGGTATTTAGTCTTCTGTAACTCAAGAGGTGTGGCTAGTTGGGTTAGTCACTCCCACTACTAGCCATAGAGATAGCTAACCTGTTCAATTCTGATTAGCCAGTCTGGGCTAAACACATAATTTACCTAGAAGGGAATGTATAGGGCCAAGACAGGAGAGGCTTTTGTAAATGGGTTAATTGAGGATGAACACAAAGCAAATCAGGTGTTTATTGTGACATCAGGAAACTTTGGAATTAACTACACAAAGACCAGTTTCATCCTGTACACAGCCATTCCCCCGAGGGTGGTAGGCTGTGGAGATTTTTTGCAGGATTTTGAGAGAAGTGGCAGAATTCTCCAGAGCTGGGAAGTGAACAGGGTTCTGGTAGAGATGTTATCCACGTGGATATTTCAACAAATCGGAATATGTGCTTCACTAGAAATTTATATAGTTTTAGAGGTGCTTAGGTACGGTTTGTTTGGAAATACGTGGACCATCCTTGTACATATTAAGATAGGGAAGTTATTAATAAAATTTAGGTGATAGTAAATTTATTTAAGAAAATAAAATCTTACATCACAGTCAAGCAGGTTGAGGCTCACGGGAATCTTGGGAGTTACTGATGTGGAAACTTGCTCAAGGTACTTTTGTCTAGATGGCTTAAGTTAAGGTCAAGGTGAAGATTGCCTTGGGTTGCTTGGTGACAGCTGGGCAGCCATAGTCCGTTGGGAGCAAATCCCATTTCCCACAAGCTTGTGATGGTGGGGACCATGACTCATGAGAAACAATCAATGAAAATTACAAAAGTTGGTGGATACAATGGACTCCTATACTATTTGCATACAGATAGGTATTTCCCAGTCTGGGATTTCATTTCACTGCAGACCTCTGGATAATATGAGATATTCCCTAATTTATATAATCTATTAAATTTAGTTCAGCTTATAACTTTTTTAAATGCTTTGCCAAATAAGTGTCTTTTGTGGCATGTGCTCCAATAGTTGTTAAAATATGCAACTCTAAGGAAAAAAGACAAGACCTAAAGGACGCCAACAACAAAGTATTGAAAGACTGCCAGGTTTTTCATTGTTTAAGCTAAATAGGATAACAAACTGTGGCATAATTTTTGTTTGCTTGGAAGTTTTTTCCTTATTTGTGTTTACTTTCTCTGTATCAAAAGTTTTTTGGGGCCTCTGGCTAGCTCAGTCAGTTAAGTGTCTGGCTCCTGATCTCAGATTAGGTGGAACCTGCTTGAGATTCTCTCTCTTCCTCTCCCTCTGCCCCTCCCCTCCCCCTGCTTGCACATGCTCTCTCTTTCTAAAAATAAATAAATTAATTTAATAAATAAAGTTCTTCTTTCTTTCCCATCTCAGTGCTACTTTTCACTTTAACCAAAAACTAACCCATATGCCTGAAACTTCTAAGATTTTAATCTAATTTCTCCTTTGCTATAAAATGCTTTTATTTTCTAAGGTTTTCTCAACAAAATATAATCCCATACCTTTTGTTACCCAAATACTTACTCCTAAATTGATTTTCAACCAAATTGCTTTGCACCATAGCAGTGTCTTACTTTCTATTGAACGAAATCTCATCAAAAGTAAATAATTATTTCTCTTGATTTGATAAGCAATCGAGTATAAAATAACTTCTGAAACTATATCATCTTTAGCTGTTTGCAAAAGGAAAACATGAGAAGAAAACCTGGTTTGAATCTCGAGATTTTTGTAAAGCTCTGGGCGGTGACCTAGCTAGTATCAATAATAAAGAAGAACAGCAAGCAATATGGCGATTAATAGCGTAAGTGTCTTTTCTGTATAATACTCCTTTCTTTTACCTATTTGGTGCTAATGATGTTGAGAAAATTCTTGTATTTCTGAAATTGTTGGCTCAAAATGCTACTTTAAGTGCCTATATTATATTCCAAAACCATAGGAACTTTTTGTCTGATTTCACTTCCAAATGCTTTCATTTTATAGGTATAAATCCTGTGATGAATTGCTCTATAAAAGTACAAGACACTCAATACATGTTATTAAATGAATAGATGAATTACTATCTTTCGGTGCTTTATAATTATATATTCTCAAACGGGGTCTTGTTTTCAGTATATTTATGGGCTATACCAAAATGCAATTGCATAATGCTTATATTTAGTCATTGAATCTCATTACCTGGTTTGAAAGATAACTTTCAAATTTGATTAGCTCTTATAGGTAACCAGACTTATTTCATCCAATAGTATAAGCTCTCTTTATGTCTTGTAAATTGCAGGGCTAGCGGAAGCTATCATGAACTGTTTTGGTTGGGATTGACATATGGAAGTCCTTCAGAGGGCTTTACTTGGAGTGATGGTTCTCCTGTGAGTAATTTGATTTAATACATCATTTTCTTGCTTTATCCTCTATTTATTTTGATGTTATCCTTGGGCTTAATCCAAATTTTTGGTAAAACAGGTTATGATAGCTAGAAACATTTTTCTAGGCAAAAGTCAGTGTTATTTTGGATCATTAATCTGCTCCTGCCCTGATAGAGTTCTCCTGTTCACCCAAGGTATAAGCACGGTGGAATGGTGGACTGGATGAAAAAAAATTAGAAAACTCATTTCACTAGTTTAAATAAAATAATGTTTTCATTCTATCATGCAAAATTGGTGTGTAAGTAGTTAAACTTCTTAAAAATTGAGTTCTAAACAAGTGTTGGCGAGGATGTGGAGAAAATGGAACCCTTGTGCACTGTTGGTGGGAATGTAAACTGATGCAGCCACTGTGGAAAACAGTATGGAAGTTCCTCAAAAAGTTAAAAATAGAAGTACCCTATGCCCCAGCAATTGCACTACTGGGTATTTACCCCCCAAATACAAAAACACTAATTCAAATGGATACATGCACCCCTAATGTTTATTGCAGCATTATTTACAATAGCTAAACTATGGAAGCAGCCCAAGTGTCCATTGATAGATGAATGAGTAAAGAAGATGTGGTGTGTGTATATATCTATATACAATGGAATACTATTCAGCCCTAAAAAAGAATGAAATCTTGCATTTATAACAACATGGATGGAGCTAGAGAGGTAATGCTAGGTGAAATAAGTCAGTCAGAGAAAGACAAATACCATATGATTGCACTCATATGTGAAATTTAAGAAACAAAACAAACAAGAGAAGGAAAAAAAGAGAGAGAAACAAAAACCAAGAAACAGACTCTTAACTATGGAGAACAAACTAGTGGTCACCAGAGGGAAGGTGGGTGAGCGGATGGGTGAAATAGGGGAAGGGGATGAAGAGCACACTTACTGCAATGAGCCCTGAGTAATGTGTAGAACTGTTGAATCACTATATTGTACATGTGAAACTAATATAACACTGTATGTTAACTATACTGGAATTAAAATTTAAAACTTAATATAAAAATTGAGTGTTTTGTAGCTTCTTATAGATCAGGAGATCTGGAAACAACTTTTGAGAATCCACTGGTAACCACTGGGCCTTGTCAGCCTTCCCCATTCTCAGGAATGGAGAAGTGAGAGGCTCAGGGACATGCTGGCAACATTTAGTGGTCTAGTCATCCCAGGAAGTGATTTGATGTAATTTCAGTTCTACCTCCTCTTATAAACGATCAGCAGCTTTTCAAGGCACTTGAGTAAACTGATTTATTTGATAGCTCCATTGACACTTGGATTTCATATTGCTATTTCTGTAAAATGCTTTGTCTAAAACTCTGTTGGCTCTAATTTCCATACTGAAAACTGCAAAGGGGACCTGAACCCGTTGATTTCCTCTGTTAATTTAGGTGAAGTATGGTAGCTTTGTTAGCAGTATTTTGTAAGTCTTTTTTCTTTTATAAGAAGAACTAATTATACTTCTCTATCCTACCTAATGAACAGAAAGTTTCCAACATCACACTGAAACACGAATTAATTAATTAATTAATTAATTCTTAATTCCTTAAGAATTAGGGATATTAGAGATTGAGGAATTCCCAATACTGAGAAGTGGGGCTTTTTTTTTTTTTTTTTGCCAAGTTTTTCCTATATATGAATACCACTTTTGTGGCCCTGGATCTATTCTATGAATAAGACCAAAGAAGATTTTATAATCATTAATAGCATATTCTCTTCAACTTTGAAAGTTTCCATGTAATTAATGAAAGCTATTTCTTTCCCACCCATTTTCATAAACCTTGCTTTCAAAACCAAGTTATTGCAAAGAAAAGTAAATATATTTTTAAAAAATGTTAATATACCTTTCCTTTCTTATTGGATAAACGATAGGAAATGGCCTGATATAAATGATTAACAGTTGCAATGTAATGTTTCGGACATAGGTTTCATATGAAAATTGGGCTTATGGAGAACCCAACAATTATCAAAATGTCGAATACTGTGGTGAATTGAAAGGTGACTCTGGTATGTCCTGGAATGATATTAACTGTGAACATCTCAACAACTGGATTTGCCAAATACAAAAAGGTATGGTAACCTGTCCTTTATTTTATCTTACATTGGAGAACGAACCTCCTGATATCCCAATATTTTCCCTTTATGAGCAGAACCAAACAAACAAAATCACAAAATAAGGGAACTGGCAGGGGACATCATTCACAGGATAAGAATGAAGTCACTGAGCACAGATAAATGTTCCAAAGGAACAGAAGATCAAAAGGCCACCCGGGAATCCTGGACAAGAGTCACGTCCTCTGAAATAGTTCCCACAAGCTGTGATTCTGGCTCAGATTCTATAGGGGTGGGAGTGGGTGGGTAGTCTCCTCTGTGAGCGGAGTAATGCAAATGCCATTTCCTTTTTGAAATATTTACCCTCTGACTTATGTTAGCCATCCAAAAGGTGAAAGTTTCCCAAATATTCTAAAGACGGATTTCTTAAATATTTTCAGCACAAAGAACAAGCACCATTTTGAGGCACCTGGCGCTGTTATACCTACCGTGTTATTGGGGTGGTCAAAAAAATATCACCGCATGCTGTCAGTCATGATCTGGGGCTCAGAAAGTTCCACAAATCCAAGTCAGGCATTGAGGCCAGAGGATCCCGGTTCTTATATTAAGATAAAGGAATAAACAGATCTTCCCTTGAACCACAATAGACATAATCTTCCTCCTTCGTAAACAGTCAAGTGGAACCACATTGCCCTCTGCTGTTGGGGACCTTGGCTACCGTCCCAGCTCCACTACTAGAGACACTTGCTCTCTCACCGTCTGTCTGAGTATTTTCCGCACTTCCGCATAGATTAGTGTTTCACAGTTTTCAGAATGGAGGACTAAATAGTGGCCAGTTTTTCTTTAGAGGTCTCCTAGCTACCGATGACTAGTTTTTTATGTGTTGTTGGTAGCTCTATTCTTACAGATGTTAACTACATGAAGCCAAGCTGGGGAACCTGAGTCCTTTTATCAGGTTCCAGCAAAGTCCAGATAGATCATTAACTACTTGGAAAGAAAAATATTTCATTCACCTTTTAGCAAAACATACATTTAATAAAAGTAAGATTCTTTGAAGAAAACATTTTATAAATAAATAATTCATCTTCAATGGTTTCTGATAATGAAATTTTAAGTAATTTCACAGCTAATTTTAAGATGCATAACTGTCAACCCAACATCTATTGAGCACCTTCTGCATACCAACAGCACATGTATTTTACCCTACCTCTCTACACATACTACTAACTCCTTTTAGCAGTTGACAGAATTGAAGATAGGCAATTCCCACTCTGAGATCTGAATCTAGGCTTTCTGAATCCAAAACTTGGTTCCTTTCTTTCCTTTCCATGACACCATTTGTTGGACCTGAAAAGTGTCTTCCAATTTCTGGTGGCTATGACTTACCTAATTCTGCTGTCCTTCCTTCTCCAACTCCACGACATTATGGGAGCACTGGGGAGTGGGAGAGAGGGAGAGAAGGAGAAAGAGAGAACAGTTATGTTTTTAGCTATTTTGACCCAGGAAAATAGTAAAATTAGAAGGATATGTGATTGCAGAAGTTCAAGCACACTTTATAATCTGATTTCCTTTTGTTTTCCAGGACAAACACCAAAACCTGAGCCAACACCAGCTCCTCAAGACAGTAGGTGTTTTCTTACTTTGTGATTTCCATATTGATAGCCTTTTTTATCTTTCTTTTCTCTATGAAACATACTTAATCTAGGAAGAACAGAGTTCTCAATATCTTTGAGAATCTTGTGGATCTTTTCCTCTAGACAGATGCTTACATGCACAAACACAAGGCATTTTAATACAATGTCTCAAGGGCTCTTGAATCATATCCAAGGGCCCAGATCTCCTCTTTAGTACTGTATTGGTTTCCAGTGGTTGCTGTCACAAATTACCACAAACTCGGTGCCTTAAAGCAATGTACACTTATTCAGAAATATGAACTCAGTTTCACTGGGCCAAAATTGGCAGGACCGTGCTTCCTTCAGAGGCTCTAAGGGAGAATCTGATTCCTTGACTTTATTAACTTCTAGAACTGCATTCCTTGCATTTGTTAGTTCGTGGCCCCATTCTCCATCTTGAAAAACCAGCAGTGTAGCTTCTTGCTTCATCTATCACATTGCATTCTTCTTCTGTAGTCAGATCTCCCTCTTTAAGGATACTTGCGGTTACATTAGGGCCCACCAAATAATCCAGGATCATCTCTCCATCTCAAGACCCTTAAATTAATCACATGTACAAAGTGCCTCTTTCTATATAAGGTAACATTTATGGATTCCAGAGATTAGGACATGGATATCTTTGGGGGCTCTGATTCAGCCTGCAATAGCACAGAACTGTAGAATACCGTGGTTTGGAAAAAGGCTTAGGAGCCCACCTGGTGTGTGAATTCCTTGGTTCTCCAGTTATACACTGAAGCACCCAAGTCCATCTGTTACAAGCTCTTTGTTATATTGAGATGAAAGCTGATTTCTCCCAGCTTCCACTTCTTGAACTCAGAACATCAAGGGTGCAGGTATGTAATTCCTGACAGCTCTGCGATCCTATTGATAAAAGTAACATTGAGACTTCTTTTACCCAATGACCATACTTGGAACTTAATTGAAGAGAAAAAGTTCCAGAGTTGGTGCAAAGTGGATATCTGGCCTTAGGTAATTCAGTCTGTGTTTGGCATAAACATCCTGCTTACTCTGGGCTCTCAGAGTTGCAGATACCACTGATAAAGCTACTCTGTCCTTTTCACTCTTGTGTACCACACACAGACCAGATTCTTGAATTTGTCTAAGTAAAATTCATCACCTGTTTTTCATTAATTTTTCAGATCCACCAGTCACTGAAGATGGGTGGGTGATTTACAAAGACTACCAGTATTATTTTAGCAAAGAGAAGGAAACCATGGACAATGCCCGAGAATTTTGCAAGAGGAACTTTGGTGATCTTGTTTCTATTCAAAGTGAAAGTAAAAAGAAGTTTCTATGGAAATATGTAAGAATTTGATTCATTGAAGAATGAAACAGTGACGTGATAAAAAAAGATAATGTCTACTATTGGTACCCCATGGTGCAGTTTCAAATTATGGGCTGAATTTGAATATTCTAAGGTCATGAGAAAAATGTCAATGCCAGAGGAGAGGCGGGTGGTAGCCATAACAGAAATGAGTGAACTGATTGCTTAAATATTCAGTGCAGAATCATAGAATCCAGAAAGTTTTTAGTCGAGTCTTTTTGTGAGGACCCAGACATGATGGCTTTGAGTTCACTAATTTGATTTTCAAAGATCATAATTCTTAACTAGTTGTTATATATCAATCCTGGATTTTTGTGTATATAGTGTAGGTTGGTTAAAAAATCTATCTTAGTTGGACCAAATTGTTGGTTAAAAGTACAGCTTGACTATTCACATAAACATCTTCTTGGTTGTACCAAAATTGTCACATTACAGTAAGAGCATAGTTTATTCTTTCCAAAGGTACTTGGCTTAGTATTTCTTTTTCAAAATCTTCATTGCATCCTTTTGCTTACCAGAAGAGAGGTAAGAGGGAGAGCAGAAAAAATAAGGTGAACATAATGGAAGCACAAAAATTCATTTGCTTACAAAGGTAGTAAAGTGTAGTCTGACTTATCTTCATATTTGTGGATATATTTTGGTTTGAAATTTTTAGGATATTTCCTAATATTGCACAAATATACATGTGTATGAAGTCTTTCCTTAGAAGCAAAATACCAAATGGTTACTTTGTTTTAAAGAATATCTTCAACAACCTAATTACTATAGGCATTTGGTATTATAGAGAATGATTTAAGGTATTTGTTTTATAAATTCAGGTTCTTATATGGTTTGCATATTTTTTTCTTTTTTTAAATTTTTTATTATTATTATTTTTAAAGATTTTATTTATTTATTCATAAGAGACAGAGAGAGAGAGGCAGAGGGAGAAGTAGGCTCCCCACTGAGCAGGGAGCCCGATGCGGTACTAGATCCCAGGACCCTGGGATCATGACCCGAGCCGAAGGCAGATGCTTAACCATCTGAGCCGCCCAGGCACCCTTTTTTTTTTTAAAGCGTATTTATTTAAGTAATTTTTACATCCAACGTGGGGCTTGAATTCACAACCCCAAAATCAAGAGTCGCATGCTCCTCTGACTCAGCCAGCCAAGCACCCCAATATTTTTCTTATTATTTCTATGAAAAACATCACTTTGAATGTACAACAAAATTTCTGCATGAATCCCTCCTTAGAAAAAGTCCTAAATGGGCTGCCTCATTAATAATTAGGTTTTGTTTAAGAATTTTCTTATTATAGGAGCACCTGGGTGGCTCAGTTGGTTGAGCGTCAACTCTTGGTTTTCGGCACAGGTCATAATCTTGGGGTCCTGAGATCGAGCCCCACATTGGGCTCTGCACTCAGCATGGAGTCTGCTTGAGATTCTCTCTCTCCCTCTCCCTCTGCCCCTCTCCCTGCTCATGCTCTGTATTTCAAATATATATATATAAATCTTTTTTAAAAAAAAGAATTTTCTTACTATGTAAGTATGGATTGACCTATATGTAAACTTCCATCTTTTAGGTAAACAGGAATGATGCACAGCCAGCATATTTTATTGGCTTACTGATCAGCTTGGATAAAAAGTTTATGTAAGTACATCAAAATGAAACAACTTTGCTTCAGAGAGTGATCTGATAAACATCTAAGAGTTATTTTGAGACTTTTGTTTCGCTGAATACATTTTTAAAAATCCTACTGAGTTCTCAATCTAAGAAGCATCTTCAAAAAACAAAAAGAATTTTTAAAAATCCTCTTAAATGTTTTCAACCTCATAATTCTCAAACAAACAACTCAAAGTCTGATTTAATCTTGCAAAACTCGACCTATCTTTGTTTTCGGGTATTATCACATGTTAGCCAGTGATCTACTAAGAAGATATACATATATGAATACTGAACTTATTTTGAATATTATGATTCCCATTTGGACCATCCTTGGTGCACAGAATTAAAGGGTCCTTTTATGTTGCCCCACTTACTGTTTTCACAGCGCTACTTTGAAATACCCTTTCAACTGCCTGAAATGCTTTCCCTTCAAAGGAATGACTGTACCGTTTTCCATTAGATACAGGGGCCAGGAAAAGCTGTGGGAGGGAGGAAATTAGTACATTTTTGGGGTTTCTTTCCTCGTTCATTAATACACATGTTCTCCTAAGTTTGAAGAGCAGATATGTCTTCCTGGCTCATGCACAGATGTTTTAGCCGTATATGTTCTGCTTGACCATTAATTGCCATTTTTGAGCAAGAGAGACCCAAAACTCACACTCATTATTTTTAAAGATCAGAAATGCTTGATGCTTCTTTGGACAAGCACCCATTTTAATCATCTCTAAAATAAGAGGGTCAGTCACATTTGATGATTTCTTGCTGTCTTTCCAGCTAACAGTCTCTGAATTTCCATAACTTATGAAAATAAGCATTGGCCCACATACCTTAGGACAAACCTGGAATAAACATGGAAATCAGAGTATGGGCTTAATGAGAAACTCTGAATTCTTGGTCTCTCTCTATGGGTGGTTTTGTTTTGTGGGAATCATGCCTACTAAGTACTCTCAGAGGCTGTTTGCTTCTGGCCCACTTCCAGAGAAACCGGGATCTCCTTGACCTCTCTCCCTTCAAGACTAAAGGTAGCTTCTTCCAGAGAGGGAGAAGAAGACAGACAAGCCAGGGCACTGGGTTGCCACAGAGGAGCACAATACCATGGGCAGCACCAACCACTTGGGAGTTTTCCTGCTGGTCTCTCTAGAATCCTCTCTTCTGTTTGCTTAAAATCCTGTGCCCCATTCATCTTCATTGACTCATCTGTTCCACACACCAGGCTGTAGTCAGTTATCCTAATGTTTGGATTAGTATTGCTAAATGCCTGAATTTTCTTTTCCAGTTGGATGGATGGGAGCAAAGTGGATTACGTGGCTTGGGCCACAGGTGAACCTAATTTTGCAAATGACGATGAAAACTGCGTGACCATGTATTCAAATTCAGGTAGACAATGTAAAAATGTTGAGTTTGCCTTGTGGCATGATGTGTCATTTGCTACATCCCTAGGCTAAAGGTAGCAAGTCATGCACTCAAATCGGGTAAGAGAAGCAGAGAAAATAAAGAAGTTTAATTTCAGCAGCATCACTGTTCAGTTTGTGAGAGTGGATGCTTAATATTTCCTCTAATGCATGACACAACCTTCTCACTTCTCATTTTATGAAACATTTCTTCATGTTTTGATTTGAGCAAAATATCCAGAATGTTTATCTATCTCCTTTATCCCTCCACACATCTTTGTCTGTAAAATGAGAATAATCACAGAACTTGCCTGTTGTTGAGATTAAACATGCAGTATACCTAAAACCCTAAGCAAATGCTTGGTACATCTAAGGTGAGGTATTATTAGATTATTGTTATTAGCTCTTAGTGGCTATTTAGACAATACATCTGCAACATCAGGTTTATTCTGGGCTCATAAGGAGGCCCTCTATAAAGTTGAACTATTATCGGCGTAAGTGAAAGAACAAAAGGGTCGGGCATAGATCTTTCTAGTCACTTGTGTAAAAATGTCTAAGCTATTTCTGAGAATCCTATAAAACATAAGTGGATTTAAAAAAAAAAAAGAATGTTCTTCAATGCAAATATGTAAATCTAACTTGGCTCTTTTGTCCTTTGCCAGGGTTTTGGAATGACATTAATTGTGGTTATCCAAATGCCTTCATCTGCCAGAGACATAACAACAGCATCAACACCACCATTACTCCAACGGCACCTTCAGTCCCAGGAGGCTGTAAGGAAGGCTGGAATTTTTACAATAACAAGGTACTAAGAAAATTAGTTGTAGTCTTGGTATTGATCAATGCGGAGAGTGACAATGCACATCGTTCAGTTCAGAGGTAACTTTTGCTTACCTAATGCCTTCAGAAAATGTTAGGTGAGAATAGAGAGAAGTTCCTATGTCAAATTCTTTATGGAAATGGAGAGAATACGTGGAGCTATTCTCCAAGTGGGTGTGTCCTTTGTTCTGAGGAAGAAAAAAAACTTGGCCAAGGAAGTTCATGGGTGATAAAACTCACTTAACCTTTTGGATCTCTATTTGGCTGGAGAAAATGTATATGCAGCTATAATCATCGTGAAAATTTTACATTTCTTTAGAGCAAGCACTATTATCTGTACTTAGTCCCTTTTTTTTCTCTTTCATCCGAGTGTTTCAAAATCTTTGGATTTGTTGAAGACGAAAGAAAAAGTTGGCAAGAGGCACGAAAAGCTTGCATAGGATTTGGGGGAAATCTGGTATCAATCCGCAACGAAAAGGAGCAAGGTATGCAGACATTGTATGATCAGTGATGCACTTAAATATGTAATTTTTTTTCCCCTGCTGATAGTAAATGACATTTTGGTTTTCCAGAGTAAACACTAGGCAGGGGAGAAAACCTAAACACATGTGGAGAACTGTTTTATTCAGTGTAGGCACCACGCTGGGCATTAAACAAAGAAAGTCCCTTTTCATTGTTAGGACAACTCTGTGAAGCCGGTTATCATCACCCCACTTGTGAATGAGGAAGTGGTGTTCAGGGAACCCGCTGCTAAGTGGGAGGGTTGGGAATTAAACTGGCTGTTCAACTGACATTCCATTCTGTTTCCACCAAACCAGTTTATTCCCCAAAGAGCCAAAGAAGTAGAGTAGTTCTAGGAGTGAAATGGAAAATTGCTAATTTTCCATTTATTGCACTTTTAATCACTTGATCACATACCCTAAAAGGCAAAAGAACTAATTTTTAAATAGGAACTTTGAACAAATTGAGACTTTTTTCCCCATAAAACATAAGGGTAATTCAGAGCTTTGAAGAAAACATTGAAGGAGAAAACTCACCGTATCCATATAGCAGACTGTAAAATTTATTATGTTGTCAAGAGAAAGATAGTTGACCAATTTTGTATGGTCTCTACATGGCCACCTTACCTGAAATAGATACTAAGCTAAATTAGTGGCTTGTCACTTGAAGAAGGATGCTAACCACCTGCAGAGCAGCCGGATGAAGTAACTAAATTCATGGAGGGTTTGGAAGCCACAGCAGGCTGTAAGTGAGGCATGTTTGAAAGACCTTCAGCTTTCAGAGCCTGGAAAAGTGTGGGCTTTGAAAAGAGAAGACCTGTATAGTTCCGGGATAAATACTTAGCACCAATGAACTGCTGTTACAAAGAAATAGATTTAGGCTCAAAATCTGGAGGTCATTCTCACAATTAGAACTGATTTTTTTTTTATGTTATGTTAATCACCATACATTACATCATGAGTTTTTGATGTAGTGTTCCATGATTCATTGTTTGCATATAACACTCAGTGCTCCATGCAGAACGTGCCCTCTTTAATACCCATCACCAGGCGAACCCATCCCCCACCACCCTCCCCTCTAGAACCCTCAGTTTGTTTTTCAGAATCCATCGTCTCTCATGGTTCATCTCCCCCTCCGATTTCTCCCCCTTCATTCTTCCTCTCCTGCTATCTTCTTCTTCTTCTTTTTCTTTTTTAAACATATAATGTATTATTTGTTTCAGAGGTACAGATCTGTGATTCAACAGTTTTGCACAATTCACAGTGCTCACCATAGCACATACCCTCCCCAATGTCTATCACCCAGCCACCCCATTCCCCCCACCCCCCACCATTCCACCAACCCTCAGTTTGTTTCCTGAGATTAAGAATTCCTCATATCAGGGCGCCTGGGTGGCTTAGTTGGTTAAGCGACTGCCTTCGGCTCAGGTCATGATCCTGGAGTCCCTGGATCGAGTCCCGCATCGGGCTCCCTGCTCGGCAGGGAGTCTGCTTTGCCCTCTGACCCTATCCCCTCTCATGTGTTCTCTCTCATTCTCTCTCTCTCAAATAAATAAATAAAATCTTTAAAAAAAAAAAAGAATTCCTCATATCAGTGAGGTCATATGATACATGTCTTTCTCTGATTGACTTATTTCGCTCAGCATAACACCCTCCAGTTCCATCCACGTTGTTGCAAATGGCAAGATTTCATTCCTTTTGCTGGCTGCATAATATTCCATTGTGTATATATACCACATCTTCTTTATCCATTCATCTGTTGATGGACATCTTGGCTCTTTCCACAGTTTGGCTATTGTGGACATTGCTGCTATAAACATCGGGATGCATGTACCCCTTTGGATCCCTACATTTGTATCTTTGGGGTAAATACCCAGTAGTGCAATTGCTGGGTCATAGGGTAGCTCTATTTTCAACTTTTTGAGGAACCTCCATACTGTTTTCCAGAGTGGCTGCACCAGCTTGCATTCCCACCAACAGTGTAGGAGGGTTCCCCTTTCTCTGCATCCCCGCCAACATCTGTCATTTCTCGACTTGTTAATTTTAGCCATTCTGCCTGGTGTGAGGTGGTATCTCATTGAGGTTTTGATTTGGATTTCCCTGATGCCGAGCGATGTTGAGCACTTTTTCATGTGTCTTTTGGCCATTTGGATGTCTTCTTTGGAAAAATGTCTGTTCATGTAATAAAGATCAGAGCAGAAATCAATGAAATAGAAACCAAAAGAACAGTAGAACAGATCCACGAAACTAGGAGCTGGTTCTTTGAAAGAATTAACAAGATTGATAAACCCCTGGCCAGACTTATCAAAAAGAAAACAGAAAGGACCCAAATAAATAAAATCATGAATGAAAGAGGAGAGATCACAACCAACACCAAAGAAATACAAACAATTATAAGAACATATTATGAACAGCTATATGCCAGCAAATTAGATAATCTGGAAGAAATGGATGCTTTCCTAGAGAAGTATCAACTACCAAAACTGAACCAGGAAGAAATAGAAAACCTGAACAGACCTATAACCACTAAGGAAATTGAAGCAGTCATCAAAAATCTCCCAACAGGGCACCTGGGTGGCTCAGTCGTTAAGCGTCTGCCTTCGGCTCAGGTCATGGTTCCAGGGTCCTGGGATCGAGCCCCACATCGGGCTCCCTGCTCGGCGGGAAGCCTGCTTCTTCCTCTCTCACTCCCCCTGCTTGTGTTCCCTCTCTCGCTGTGTCTCTCTCTGTCAAATAAATAAATAAAATCTTAAAAAAAAAAAATCTCCCAACAAACAAAAGCCAAGGGCCAGATGGCTTCCCAGGGGAGTTCTAACAAACATTTAAAGAAGAATTAATACCTATTCTTCTGAAACTGTTCCAAAAAATAGAAATGGAAGGAAAACTTCTAAACTCGTTTTATGAAGCCACCATTACCTTGATCCCAAAACCAGGAAAAGACCCCATCAAAAAGGAGAATTACAGACCAATATCCTTGATGAACATAGATGCAAAAATTCTCACCAAAATACTAGCCAATAGGATCCAACAGCACATTAAAAGGATTATTCACCACAACCAAGTGGGATTTATCCCTGGGCTGCAAGGTTGGTTCAACATCCGCAAATCAATCAATATGATGCAATACATTAATAAAAGAAAGAACAAGAACCTTATGATCCTCTCAATAGATGCAGAAAAAGCATTTGACAAAGTACAGCATCCTTTTTTGATCAAAACTCTTCAGAGTGTAGGGATAGAGGGTACATACCTCAATATCATAAAAGCCATCTATGAAAAACTTACAGCGAAAATCATTCTCAATGGAGAAAAACTGAGAGCTTCCCCCCCTAAGGTCAGAAACGCAGCAGGGGTGTCCACTATCACCACTGCTATTCAACATAGTATTAGAAGTCTTAGCCACAGCAATCAGACAACAAAAAGAAATAAAAGGCATCCAAATCCACAAAGAAGAAGTCAAACTCTCACTCTTTGCAGATGCTATGATACTTTATGTGGAAAACCCAAAAGACTCCACCCCAAAACTGCTAGAACTCATACAGGAATTCAGTAAAGTGGCAGTATATAAAATCAATGCACAGAAATCAGTGGCATTCCTATACACCAACAAGACAGAAGAAAGGGAAATTAAGGAGTCAATCCCATTTACAATGGCACCCAAAGCCATAAGATACCTAGGAATAAATCTAACCAAAGAGGCAAAGAAACAGAACTGATTAAATGAGCTGCTTTGTGAGTTCTCTAAAAGGCTGTGAAAAGGATTACGTTGGAAAGTTCTCAGTTGGGTGCTATAGAGTCACACAGACTGGTACGTAGAATGAAAGATGTTCAATAAATATTTGTATGAATGAATTTATGTGAGATGTTAAGAGGGAGATGAGGAACTGCATAATTTCTAAGTTCCCTTCTGGTTTTGAGATTCTTTGACTTCCAAAATCGCTTACTGGAAAACATGGTATGTCTCAGAAAATCTACAAAAAAGGAAGACCCAGGAACCTTCCATGGCCTTTTCTCAAATGTTTCCTCTACTCCATAAATGCAGCCATGTGCTCTCTTGGAACACATGATGCAGTAAATCAACCAAGATTTCACTGAGAGCCTTTGTCAAGTTCAGCAACTTGCCAGACCCTGAAAGAAAAGGGTCAAACCATAGCACACAATAGAAACATTTTCAGAATAGAATATTCATATTTCTCTAACTGGCCTACCACATTTTGGGCTTAGCTACCCAACAGAGAAACATAATAATTGATTTCTTCTCTTAACCACAAAGTGCTGATTCCTGGCATCACAAAATTAGAACCTGGGTAATAGAGATGTGCAGAAGGAAACAATTTTCAGATAAAATAACATTATTCCTGGCAAACCCGGCACACGATGTTGAATTCTTATTGTGGTTGTTGGCAGAAAAAAAAGTCAGTGCTGAAATATTGGCAGGTAGGGCTTTTCCACATTCATTTTAATTTGGGGATGGGGAAAGTTAAGATCTTATTTAGGAAATAAAACAAAACCAAAATAAATATCTAGCCATGCTCTTCTCCCTCTGAAAAATGTTGAAAGAAAAAAAAAATTTTTTTTTTAACTTTAGTTGAGAAATAAGCAAATCTCTGAGCAGAGCGGTTATTTCCTCTGCTACTCCAGCAGGAGAATAAACACGTAACCATGGCCCTTCCATGGAATTGTTTGTTTCATGAATAAACAGATGATTGTGTCTCTTTGGGCTTCTCTCTATTTTGCATTTTCTTTGAGTTACCCGGATGCTTAGTCACTCCATATCCTATTTGCATTCAGGAGTCGGGTGTAAGCGTAAGTGTTTGGAAATTGTTCTGTTGAGTTGGTGCTCATTCACCTGGGCATCCTCGGCTCCTGGCAGACGAGGTTGCTAGCTGTGGCAGGCAGCCGGCTGGTGTGGGAGGCGTGTACAAGGCCAAGTAGACAGGGGATGGGGCACGTGTTCACTGAAGCCTTTTACAGCTTCTGGATATTTGCCACCCTCCTCTGTGCCACAGAACGGACAAGGAAGAAAGAGGCCACACTGGCTCTACATTCTCTGCATTTTTCTATATCTTCTCTCCTAATGATGCAAGTGCTTAATGTCAGGATGCCCCTGTGGTCTGGGCACATGGGGTGGGATGGCTGCTGACCCCTTAGCAGTTGCTGCCGAGAGGGAGTTCCAATCGGGTAGCTCTTTTGGTTTGGAAATCCGAAATAGTGATAACTTGACAGCCTCATGCTTCTTGTTTTGACAAGTAGGTTTCATTTTTAGACGTTTTCTGGATTAAGAGCTCTATTTGCCCCCTAGTTCTTATGATCAGATTATCTTATTGAAAGAATCAGGATACCTGCTAACTCATAGGATGAGTGTGTGTGAATTAGAAACCGTACCCTCTTCCTGCAGGATGGCAGGCAGCCACAGCCCAGATCGGGGTGTATGACATGGCGCACGGGGCGTGGGATGGACTCAGCCACCCTTGTCCCAGTTCCCCACTGCCCCTGGGCACGGCCCAGTCTGTCCAGCTGTCTGCAGTGGCCCAGATAAAACCTAGACTTTTATTATACAAAATTTTCCGAAGTACGAACTGAAGTGATAAGGTGATATTAAGGTTAGAATGTGTTTGTTTTCATGGTAAGTGGTTTTAAATAATAATAAAGACCTTAATCACGTACACAGTATTTTACAAATATGTATTTTGAATATTTTCCCATATTTTGAGTATTTTCCCCCAAAGGTTAAAATTATCTTGTGGAAATTTCTTTCAGCATTTCTTACCTATCATATGAAGGACTCCGCTTTTAATGCCTGGACTGGGCTGAATGATGTGAATTCAGAGCACACGTTCCTTTGGACGGATGGGCGAGGAGTTCATTATACAAACTGGGGCAAAGGTTATCCTGGCGGAAGAAGGAGCAGTCTTTCCTATGAAGATGTAAATATCAGTTTCAGGTCAACTCTCCGTGTACTGTCAGCCTGCTGCTTATTGACTGCATATTAGTGATTCATCTTCTGTGAAACATCTACCAGAGTTCTCCTTGATCTGGTTCATTCTTGCAGATCTTAAGTGTTTCAGACTGAGCCAGCCTTAAGAGAAGGGGTATAAATTCAATTACAAACTCTTCAACTTGTGGGGTAGGTGATGGAGGTATCAAGGGATGGGAAAGCCAGTTCCAATCTGGGTCTATGTTGCGGTCAGGAGGTACACTTGAATCCAGAGTTATCGATTTTATTTGCATCACCTGCCTCTAAACTCTTGAAGCTTGTAGTATTAAGGCTGTAAGTCTGACAGCAACTACTCCTTCCAAAGATAGAAGTTAACATGATTGAGCTGCCATCTGTAGGATACTTACTACGTGCCAAACACAGTGCTAGGAGCTCTTATATATTAACCTAAGAGACAGATGAGTGTGTTATTATTGTAGTACTTTTAATCTTGCATCAATTAACAGCCAACCAGTCAATGTTAAACACCACACTAGGCATTGAGAAAAACACGAAGAAACGGCAGATTTTGTTCTGACCTTAAAGAAGCTTACATTTATGTAAGACCACAAGTCTGATACAGGAAAGAAGGGAGTAAGAAACGCAAGTATATGATGACAGGATCAGTTATAAAGCCCTGTAGTAGTTAGGAGGAAAGAAGCTTACTGTGGGATAACGTGATCTAATCAGTCAATACTTATTTAGGGAGGCTTTCATTTGATGAAGAGAAGGAATATGAGAAAAAAAAAATCAGCTATGGGTCTTTTCCTCAAGAGGTTTAAAACAATGATCAGGAAAGTTGGGTATATGGGGTGAGGAAGACCATGCTAAGTGGGCAAGGTGAATAAAATCTTCAAGAAAAAAAGCACCAGGTGGGTCTGGGCAGGAGAAAAATGACTTGGGATATAGCAGGGTTTTTATACAGAAAAGAAGTAGGAGTAAACTTTGTAAGGTTGACAGCAGAATTTAGAGAAATTTAGTTGCCCCAGGAGTGAGTTTGGACTTTGTCAGATGGGCAGTGAGAAAAGGTTAGAGCAGAAAAATGATCTGATCAAAATGGTGCCTTTATGATAGTTAATTGGGTTAGCTCTGTTAGGGTAGATACATTTAGATGACAGGTTAGTGATTTTCTGTGGAGAAATTCTTTGCATCTTCATTACATTCATGAGGGCTAAAAACTTACTGAAGAAGTTAAAGTAGAATGGAGTGAGGTGAGGTTTGCTTAGAAAAATTTCTGGATGGGGGTGAATTTTGTGTAAAGCAAAAAAATTTTATTGTTGCCCAAGTTTTGTTTTGTTTTGAGAACATAAAGACAAGCAGAGACAACAAAAGCAAAATCTGCTATCTCACCGTCCAGGGAAAAAACACTGTTAATTTTTTGTTGAATTTATTTCTAGACTTTTTCTTAGTGCATGAAAAATAGTTTATTTCTCAAAAATGGAATCAAAACACACATACTGTGTTGTTACAATTTCAGGACTTGAAAAATGACGAGGATTAAATACAGTGTGATAAATAAGAGTGTGAGAGAACTTTTCTTACGGGTTTTGTGGTGGAAACATGCTTGCTCTCTACAGGTTTTCTGGAGTAGAGCACAGACTGTAAGCAAGGGTAATGGAAGATAAGAATAGCTAAGAAGGAAGATGGGAATGAGTGGAGCATCTAAATGTAGGATTGGGAGTTCCCGTAAGTTGAAGTTCATGGGATAATGAGGCTGGAGGCAGGGAGGTTGCAAAGGCATTGCAACCATGGATCAGGGAATGGGGGTACAAAGCTAAGGATTGGGGTTCTTTCCATCTTTCTGCTCGGCATCATTGCGTGCTGGCCTAGCTCTTCATTACTGCCTGGGAGAGAAGTTCCAGTCGTTCTGTCCATTCAAGATAATATGCAATCTTCCCTTCTTTTGTGGCTGTTTATCAACAAGAAACCCTTCCTGGGGAGCACTCCTGCTCACAGCATGCTTTGCATTCCTCACTCGCTGAGAAGCACGATAGTTCAGTGGCCAAGGCCTATGCCAGGAGACTGCGTGCCTGGGGTTTGAATCCTAACTCTTATTTATTAGCTGTGTAACCATGGGCAAGTTAACCTGTGCCTCAATGAACCTGCGCCTCAGATCGTTCATCTATGAAATGGGCATACTCATAGGACCAACCACTAAGGATGGATGTCAGTTTACAAGAATTAATATGTATATAGTACTTAGAACAATGTCAGATATTATAGGTGTGAGCTATAATTATTAGAACCAATGGGTTAAAGAAGCCCAACACATGATAAATCAAAATCTTCATCTGACACTGGATGAAAACTTCAGCAGGGGCAGGTTTCTTGACTTCTTTACTTGCTTTGGCTCATAGATTGTCCTATGGAAGCTTGATATTGCAAACATATTCACAACAAAAAATAAAAAAATTCTTTCCAGCCTGGCATACTTCCCTGTAAGATTGCAAATAACATGTGAAACTTTCTAGCTACACACCAGCAATTTGCTCTGAATCCATAATGGTACTTGTATAAATTAAATTAGCAATGAAAAAATATAGATTATACTTATTTCTCTTTAACAGTAGGATACCTATTTTGGGGTTTGAATCATGAGAATTTATATGGAGAAGATATTGTATTCTCCTAACATTTGATTGTTAAATTTTGGTAGAGATTTGTACCATTTCTGATAGCAAAGTTTCTCAGACCTGTCTCTAAAATTATCCAATTCTATCTGATTTTTAATTAAAAATAGCAAGAGTTCAGTGTGAAAGATTCCCTTGAAAAGTGTGAGCAGTTGCATGGAAAAGTAAGGATGAATTGAAAGTGACTGTAAATGAATTAGGATGATCTTCAGATTTGGTGGTTAGGCATGAGGGATATTCTTGGCTTATTAATGAATAGATTTAAACAATTATTGATTCACACTGCTTTTTATTTTCCTTTCTCCACAAATGTACAGGCTGACTGTGTGGTTATTATTGGAGGGAAATCAAGGGATGCAGGAAAATGGATGGATGACACATGTGACAGTAAACGAGGTTACATATGCCAGACACTTTCTGGTAAGTTCTATCAAACCTTGCCTGCCCATAGAGCTGGGTTATTTAATATATTTAAAAAAATGACCTTCTTCTCAATTTTGCTCTAAACCTTAAACAGCTCTAAAAACAAAGTTTTATTTAAAGAATGGCCATTCCCATGCACATTGTTTCTCAACTCAATCCATGTGCGTCTGTGAAAGAGCATAAGGGTGACATTTTCTAGAAACTATTCATGAGTGTACCCCTTCATCCGTTACCAAAAATTTTGTGCAGATTACACTTGAAGTTGGAACTTTTTCTAACTTCATAAGAAATGTAGGATATTTGCCTACCTGTACCTTTTAAAAAATGTCACCGTAAGAATACTTGGTTCTGTTTGCCTAATTTGAGAACCTTTGGCACAAATCATCATATATACCTCATTGGTTCTGTATTCTCTGCCTTTAAAAATGTAGATATCCTTTTTTTCTTAAAAATTTTAAGTAATCTCTGTACCCCACATGGGGCTTGAACTCACAACCCCAAGATCAAGAGTCGCATGTTCTACCGACTGAGCCAGCCAGGCGCCCTCTAAAAATGTAGACACCTGATTTGTGTTTCATTTTGTATCTTAGGAAGCCCTATGGTTAAACAAAAATAAAACAGAATATGTGCATATTTACTGAGAGTCCAGATTATGGTTGTACGTACTTTAGTCTCCAGCGAAAGAAGGATACAAATGTCTAGCTACACAAAAAGAGGGCCAGAAATTAAAAAGTGGTTTAGAGAGGAGGGTGCAGAGTGGGGTGGGCTGCTCTCATTCTGAGAACAGCTCTTAGAGTTTGAATTAGAAGGTACTTGTTCTAATGCATCAAACAGATTTTTCTACACTTTCTAGAGAATCAGGGAACTAAGGTCAACTCATGACCATGAGTGAAAATCACTTGAGGTATTTTCAGATTATTGAAAAGTACTGCAGAAATTCTAAGCTTTCATTAATTCAGAAGCTGGTCCAGGACCTGTTGCTTTCCCCTCTATGCTCTGTTCTCTGGCAGCAGAATCTTAGGCCACCAGAAAGCACACATGCCATTTTTGCCCAGGTTTTGAGTAAAAGGAGCGGGTATCCTTCCAGGAGTGAATGATGACTCACAAGCTCTTTGAAAATCTTTTTCTTCCTATTATAAACATAAGTGGTAGAATATTTGCCACTAATAAAAGCTTATTAAAAAATAAAAATATTTATCATCATTCACCTATACATTCATGTTTTTATTTATATATATTTATATATATATATAAACCTACCATTTTAAAAAATATGTAACACATGTTCTTTGTTGATGTTTTAGAAAATGCAGAAAAGCATAAAGAAGGGAAAAAATTACCTACAATCCAACCACCTGAAAATAACCCCTCAATATTTTAGTTTTTCCTTATAATTGTTTTATGAATGTTTTAATAAACAAACCAGTCGGACAGATGAGCTGTTTCCTAATTGCATATAGCCTTCCATGAAACTTTTTTTTAAGCTTTACCTCAAGCCTCATTTGCCACTTTTAGTGGTCGCCAAATTTCCCACAGGTATTGAGACAAACCCAAACCTCCCCAAGTTGGGAAATGGTAAGACTATTCAGTCTCTACAGGCCGTACCATGTGAAGGGTGCTGGTCTGGGTCTCTTGGTTTAATGATATTCTTCTACCAACACAAGGTGGCAGCAACAGTAGAAGAAAGGGGAAGCTGCCCTTGCTGAAATAAAGTCATTACCATACTAGGCGTAATCAAAAGCATGTTTGGCATTGGGATAGTGACAGAACAAGGCAGATGGTAGATTAGGTCAGTATATAGTGGAACACGTCTGAGAATTAACCAAGACAAAATTGGTAAGCAAGGACATCTAGAACCCTAGATAGGAGTTGGCAATTTTTTTCTGTAGAGAGACACGTTGTAGGTATTTTAGGCTGTAAATACACATTCTCTGTTGCAACTACTCAACTCTGACATGATACTAGGCAGTCATAGACAACACGTAAACAAGTGAACGTGGCTGTGTTCCAATAAAATTTTATTTATGGACACAAATTTGAATTTCATACAATGTTTACATGTCACAAAGTATTATTATTTGATTTTTTTTTTTTTTTTTTTTTTTTGGTCAGCCATTTAAAAGACATTCTGGGCTCATTGGCTACAAAAACAGACAACAGGCCAGATTTCACCCTCTGCCTGTCATTTGCTAACTTCTCACTTTAGGACATCCGTTAAGGGACACAGAAAGAAACTCTTTTTTGGGGTGTTGACAGTAAGTAGCACAAAGGATGGGTGGGCCTACAACAGTCACTAGAAACTCATACTGGAACACTGAGGAAAGAAGTTCAGAAAGCCAGAGTGACTCTGTCTTAGGCTCCAGCCCCTGAGTCAGTTTGATCAAGATATGGGAGGCCTGGCTGAAAGGCGTAGGCAATCATTAGTAGGAGAAAAGCCTGATCCCAGGATAAGGGTTAAATGAACCCAGGACTGGTGTCTGGCTTCATGCCAAAACTTAAAGCAGGCTCTCGAAGGTGAGTTAACAGTAGAGTCAAATAGATACAAAGAGATGCAAATTCATGGAGAGGGTACAACAGATGAAGGAGGGGGAGGAAGACTGTTGGTGACCTTGAAATATGACCGAGGTGGTAAAATAAAGATTAGTAATGACAGAATGATAGATATTCTTTAGTTGATGGGATTAAACTGTGTCATTTCTTTTGTTCAGATACTAGATCTCATTGAATTTGCAAGGCTTTTGGTTTTTTTTTTCTTTTCATTTTTTGGTTTTTGGGTTTTTTTTAGTTTAGAAACTTGATTACATATCTATATTAATGGTCTAAATACAGTTTGGAAATTATTTCATTCAACCAGCCATACTGATTAAAAAACAGAGCTTTGTTTTTTGGTGTGAAATGACTGATGAAAATATTTTTAGCACCCGATGGTTTAGATTTATGCTATTCTGATTATTTTTGTAATGTATGAGATATGGTAGTAAAGTGTACCATTAACACTCAAAGTATGTTTATTGAGAATGCTAATGAAAATTAATCTTTTTGTTCCAGACTCTTCCTTGCCTAATCCTCCAACAACAATTCCAACAGATGGCTTTATTAAATATGGTGAAAGTAACTATTCACTCATGAAATTAAAGTTAGAGTGGAATGAAGCAGAGAAGTATTGCAAGCTTCACAGTTCCCTTATTGCTAGCATTCTAGATCCCTATAGTAATGCATTTGCATGGATGCAAATGCAAAAATTTAATGAACCTGTGTGGATCGCCCTGAACAGTAACTTGGTAAGATGCTGGAAATATGTGTGACTTGACATGATTGATACATTGTGATTAAACATGATTCTCTTTCTGTTCATTCTGTTGGGCGTTTGTTATATGTAAGACACTGTGCTGGGCAATGTGAACGATGTGAAGGTGAACTAGATCCAATCTTGCAAGGATCCAATGCCTTCAAGGATCTAACAAGCTAGTGATATGAGTCAGAAATCAAACTAAGATTTATATAGCTTATATTAACTTTAATATTGCTTTTGAATATTAAAATTAGATTCTGCATCTAAACATTTTTATTTATTAATTTACTCCTCTCTAGTGTCCCAATTACAACTGTGCCATCGGAATTAAGAAAACAGATCAGGGACATGGTTCTTGGGTCATGAGGAACTTTTTACTTTTTTGTGGCAAGCCATTCTAGAGTGATCAGTCCTAAAGTTGTGTGAAGAATTTCACTGCAGTCAATTCTCTGTGTTCCATAAAAGAAAAAGGCAGGTTGGCAGAGAATTGGGGTGGGGGGCACAGAACTAAGAGTGGTGATGAAGTTGCCAAAATATACCTGTAATGAGTCTTCTCTGATGCCCTGTGATCCATCTATCCTCCATCTATTTACCTAGCCAGCCAGCAAACTTCCTAATAGAAGAAATAGAGATATCTGCAAGTAACTAAGAGACAAGATTGAAAATGTCAAAGAGAGGTATATAAAAGTGCTAACAAGAGGAGAGAAAAGAGATGGGTTGAGTCAGGGAAGAAGGTCGAGAAAGCTTCTCAGAGAAAGCGGGCTTTATAGATGTCATCTGGGATGGTGGAACATAAAGAAGGAGTACCACTAAGAGAGAAAAAGGCAGAAGGAGATAGAACTGGAAAGTAGTTTGGTGTCAGATTTGATTGAGCTTCTAATGTTGTGCTACAGAGGTCAAAAGGTACACTTCATGCACAGAGTAATTCCTGAGTAAGGAAGTGAACATTTAAAAGTAAGTGGTTCCACAATGATTTCTGTGATTAAACTTAGGCAAGACATTTTTATGTCTATATTGACTCTATTTTTAGTGATTAATTTGCTTGATAGTTCACTCATTTTCTTCTTGTAGACATGGTCACAATTCTCTCATGAGTTTAAAAGAGGCTTTTATTTATTTTTGGAAAGATTAAGTAGCTTTTCCACTATACCAACATATGTAATTAAAACAGTAGTATTATCTTTCTTATATTTGTGGAATTAATGACTGTGTAAGCATTATGCGATTAAACGTGGTAGAATACTACAAAATCCTAACTTGGGATAGCACATGCTTTTGAATTTGTCATTAAATCTTTTGTAATTGGCTAGGTAAGTTAAATAATGCAGTTAAAATGGGGACTATTTGAACTATTTTGAAATTCATTTATCTCGTTAATACTATGTATCATGTTTTTTAAGCATTACTTGTAAAATCTCTCTTAGGCTGTTAAAGGATATTATTGATAAGTAATATTTTTGATGTTATTAATTAATTTTTATGTGATCATAAATTCATTCTACTAAATGTAATAAGAAAGTAAGTGTGCAAATTGATTAAAAAATCAGCTGTGTAAAAATTACTATCATGATTTGTTGAAAGACCACCTTACTGGAAAGCAAGCCACCTAGTCTCCTGTCACCTGTCCAGCTGACCTCACCTGTCATTTGCATGTGCACTTTTTCAAAAGCTAAACAATGAGAAGATCAGAAGAGATTAGTGTTTCTCTCCAAGGTCTATAAGTTCAATGAAAACTTAATTTTTATTATCATTTCAGTGATAATATAATACATATTATATTTGTTCTGAAGACAAAATTTGTATTTTACACTGAAAACCTGTGAAGAAAAGTTTCATAGAATAAGACATAGGTTTCTTTAAGTCTGTGTTTTTCAAATTACCTTTCAAGGATGTAGTTATGGGGAACTCCAAGAGTCTCTCTTAAAGAAAGGTGACATTTCCTGAATTTAAGTTGGTAGAAATGATTTATAAAATGTCCTTTTTGTTCCCAAATGTTGAAGATCGTTTGTCAAATCACAGTCTTAAATATACTTTTACTCCTCACTAGGTTCTTTTGGTGTTTTCTAAATGAGACAAGACTCCATGTTAATGGTTGCTTTTGTCCTTGCAGACCAATAATGAGTATGCTTGGACTGACAAATGGAGGATGAGGTACACTAACTGGGCTGCCGATGAGCCCAGACTGAAATCAGCATGTGTTTATCTGGATCCTGATGGCTACTGGAAGACAGCATCTTGCAATGAAAGTTTTTATTTTCTCTGCAAAAGATCAGATGGTAATTGAATACAAAAAAAGACAATCAAGGGATTTGAAATTTTCTCAATTAGCCAATACATACCACTACTGGTATTATTAAACAGTAACATGTCTTGGAGGTCTTAAGAATAAGATAATAAAACATATCCTTTCGCTGAACAAAAGACTGACTTGGTAATAAACAAATATATATAGATCCAAATAATAACAAATATATATAGATCCAAACAAATATATATAGATCCAAATAAAATAGATCCAAATAATCTAAATAATCCAATTCTATCTCCATCCAATAATGGAGATAGAAAATTTTCTTCAGTGCTAGAGTTTATTTGCATTTTTTAGATTTTTGAATTTTTATTATTGAGATTATCCTCTGCATCTCTGATGTCAGATTTGTCAGGAAATTATGATTACCTTTTGTATCAACAGCACATCTGTATCAAAATAATTTTTATCAGAATGCATATAGATTAATCAGAATCAGTGATATTATGGTTTTAGCTTTCCTAGACTATATTCCTAGAAGGGGACAGGGATACAGTCCTAGAGTTTTAACTGTCCCATTTAGTTCTATCATAGACATCAGTCATAGCTAACAAGCATTAATAGGGGTTAGGATTTCAGAAAAGAGTGTCTTGAAGGGGGCTTCCTTTGCAAATTGTTTTTAGGTGATCTTTTTAAGGGACCTAACATCTTTATAAGTATTTATAGATCTGCCTTCTTCAGTATGACTGTGATTGATTTCTAATCTACCAGAATACAGTCTATTGAAATATATTTAAAATGACAACAAAAAGATAAAGTACAAAGAACACCCAATAACAAAAATGGCAGATCCAAATGATCCATCAGAACTTCTTAAAAATAATGATTGCGATAAAATTTTCCTTAGCTGCTACTATATCATATTGCAGAAACTTCAGGTTTTATTTTATTTTAAATGTCTTTTTATTAACAGAAATCCCTGCCACTGAACCCCCACAGCTGCCCGGCAGATGCCCAGAGTCAGAACACACAGCATGGATTCCTTTCCATGGTCACTGCTACTATATCGAGTCTTCATACACAAGAAACTGGGGTCAAGCCTCTCTAGAATGCCTCCGAATGGGTAAGTGCCACCTTTACTGTAAGGAAATCCCATCATCATCTATTCTGGACTACCATGATACTAATAACACTGTACATTAAAATCATATGGAATGTAAAGATACTTATTTTTCTCCATAATTTATATTGTAATAGAATGGGCAACATCATGTCCCCCCCCAGTGTAATTGATAACACTGTAGCCTCAAAATTTTCAAGAATTACAGTAGAAAGTAATCATTTGTGGAACAAGTCTTTCTGACTTTCTGCCCTAATCTTCGAAATGGTTAGGATTGTCATTCTCAGTTGTCCAAAGTGTTGTGTTCCCCTCTTCTCACTATTAGCTTGGGTTCCACAGTGCCCAGGGGCCATTTTGCTTTACCGTTAATAGAAAAGCATTTAGCTCAGGTTATCTTTTCTATGAAGAAAAACAAGACAAAACTCAAATAGACACGACATAGATGGATAATTTTCCTCTCAAAATAAAAATGTTAGTTAATTTTTCAGAATGCATTTAAAAATCCACTTAATTAAATCCCACTTAAAAAATTACTGAATTATTCTTTTACTACATTTTTTTTTAAAGATTTTATTTATTTATTTGAGAGAGAGAGAATGAGAGACAGAGAGCATGAGAGGGAGGAAGGTCAGAGGGAGAAGCAGACTCCCTGCCGAGCAGGGAGCCCGATGCGGGACTCGATCCCAGGACTCCAGGATCATGACCTGAGCCGAAGGCAGTCGCTTAACCAACTGAGCCACCCAGGCACCCTCTTTTACTACATTTTGATTGTCTTCTAAGTCAGTGTTTTTTTTTTTAAGATTTTATTTATTTATTTGACAGAGAGACAAGCAAGAAAGGGAACGCAAGCAGGGGGAGTGGGAGAGGGAGAAGGAGGCTTCCCGTGGAGCAGGGAGCCTGATGCAGGGCTCAATCCCAGGACCCTGGGATCATGACCTGAGCCGAAAGTAGTCACTTAACCAACTGAGCCACCCAGGCAGCCCTAAGTCAGTGTTCTCTATCCAACAGTGATATATATACAAGAGCTATATTCTCATTTCCTTCAAATTCATTCAAAAGTCAACCTTGAGTTTTGACCTTTTCTTTTTACTTTTAGGCTTTTTCCCCCTTCAGTTCTATTGAGGTATAATGGATAAATAAAATTATAAGACATTTAAAGTGTACACTGTGATAATTTGATTGTGAAGGGATTCTCACCATCAAGTTAATTAACACATCCATCATATCACATATATACCCTTTTTTATTCTTTTCTGATGAGAACACTTAAGTTCTACTCTCTGGGCAAATCTCAATTTTAAATATAGCATTATCAGCTATAGTCACCATGTTATCCATTTGATCCTAAAACCTTATTCATCTTATAACTTAAACATTGTACCCTTTCACCAGCATCTCCCTCCCCCCTACCCCACAGTCCCTGGCAACCTGCATTCTTTCTCTCTCTCTTTTTTTAATTTTACATATAAGTGATACCATGGAGAGTTCATCTGTCTCTGTCTGGCTTGTTTCCTTAGAATGGTATGGTTAGTCAGTGTTGTCACAAATAAATAAATATATATGTCACAAATATATATATACACACTACATTTTCTTTATGCATCCATCTGTTGATGGACACTTAGGTTGTTTTTGTACCTTGGCTCTTGTGAATAATGCTGCAGTGAACATGGAAGTAGAGAGATATCTTTGAGAAGTGATTTCATCACCTTTGGATATATATACCCAGAAGTGGGACTGCTGGATCATATGATAGTTCTCTTTAATTTCTTGAGGAACCTTCATGCTGTTTTTCATAGGGGCTGTATCAGTTTAGATTCCCACCAATAGTGTACAAGGGGTCTCTTCTCTCTACATTCTTGCTGGGATTTATCTTGTCTTTTTGGTAATAGCCAGTCTAACAGGTGTGAAGTGATGCCTCATCTCATCGTGGTTTTGATTTGTATTTTCTTGATGATTAGTGATGTTGAGAATTTTTCATGTAACTGTTAGCCATTTTTAAGTCTTCTTTGGGAAAAAAATGTCTATTTAGGTCTATTTGCCTATTTTTAAATTGGGTCATTTGTTTTTTTGCTATTGAATTGTGTAAGTTCCTTGTACATTTTAGATCTTAAACCTTTATTAGGATATGCAGTTTGCAAATACTGCCTTTTCATTTTGTTGATGGTTTCCTTGGTTGTGCAGAAGCTTTTTAGTTTGTTGCAGTTCCATTTATTTATTTTTGTTTTTGTTGCTTTTGCTTTTGGTGTCAAATACAAAAAAAAAAAAAAATTATCCCCAAGAACAATGACAAGGAACTTGCCACCTGTTTTCTTCTTTTTGCTCTTCTGGGTATATTTGACTGGCCCTTCTTGGAGGCCATTGTTTCTTGCTTCCACTTTATCTGGTCTGCGATTGAATCCCACCCACTCTTGTATGTTTCAGTTCAGTTATTCTTTAGCCCTGTGGTTTCTGTTTGGTACTTTTTGATTCTTTCTCTCTGCATGTTGAAATTTTCACTTTGTTTGCACATTGCTTTCTTGACCTAAATGAGCATCTTTATAACTGTTATTTTTAACTCTGTCAGATAAATCGTCATCTCTGTTTCATTAAGATCTGTTCGGAGATTTATCTTGTTCTTTTGTTTGCAACATATTTCTCCTTTTCTTCATTTTCCTGGACTCTCTGTGTTGGTTTCTGCACACTGGATAAAACAAACACCTCTCCCAGTTTTGAAAGTCTGGTGTCATGTAGGAGATGAACCTCATCAATTAACCCAACCCAACCTCCTGTTTGTCTCTCAAACCTTTGTGATGGTCTAAGCTGCCATCTTTGTTTTTTAGTGGCTCCCAGTAGTTGAGGGTGTGCAAGGGCCCTATGATGTTCCAAAGGAGAAAATCACAGTCAGCATATAAATGCAGGCTGATTAGAAGCTGGACCCTCAAGTGGCAGCTAGGAAAGTATATAAGCCAGGTGTGTGTACATGCTCCTTCCAGGGAAATATTGGTGACCTGCTTTTGTCATTGTGGCAAGCCAGGGAAAAAAAGGTGGTGGAAGTACCCCCCCAGGTACCCCAGGCTCCGTGGAAAATCACACCTTGCTCGTAGATGCATGTAAATTAGCAGCTGGACCACAGGGCAGTGGGTTGTAAAGTATGCAGTCAGTCCCTCTCCAAGAAAAGGCTGAAAAAATGGGCATTTTTCCTGTTTCCTCTTAGCTGAGTCCTGGGGGGATAGCTATAGTGAATTCTCACATGCCCATTAAGAACTATTGCTTTGTTTTCTGTAGTCCTATGGGTCTTTTGGCTGCAAACCCCATTGGTTTTCAGAGTGAGGTGGTTTGGTGGCCTGTCCCTTAGGTGGGAGCCCTAAAACTTGGAGTGCTAGAGGTATGGTCCAAACCCTTCTCTCTTCAGGGAAAAGCTGGGAGTTGGGTATTCCCTCCTGATTGTGTGGTGGTCTACTGGAGATAGGGTTTCTTGAGAAAGTATGTCTCAGCCTTTCCTACTCCTTTAGAAGTAGAGATATTCTCAGTCACCCTACATGTCAGAGTAACTCAGCTTGTTTCTGGGTTTCTCTGAGGTAGTTGCTCCATGTGTAGCTGTTCATTGGTGTGTCTATGAAAGAGGGAGTTTCAGGAACCTCCTATTTTGCCGTCTTAGTCCCTTGCTATTAGTTTTGGCTTTAAATTCTGAGTCAAGTGAAGTCTCTTTGCCTGTTTTTGGTTCATTTATTTGGGAACTTTATTGTAAGGGGGGTGTGTGTGTGTGTGTATATATATATATATATATATGTATATGTATACATATATATATATGGTGTAAGGTGTATATATATGGTGTAAGGTACATATATATAAGGTATATACATGGTATATGTGTATATATATATAACCTATTTATAACAGATATATATAACCTATCCTTATATAGATATCAATATATAACATATCTATATATATAACAGGTATATATATAACATATCTATAACATCTATATATATAACATATCTATAACAATTATAGACATATATGTAATATATACATATATGTATATTACATACGTATATGTGTATATGTATATATACATACATATATGTATGTATATTACATATATATGTCTATAATTGTTATATCTTCTTAATGAGTTGAAACTTGAATCATTATAAATGTCCTTATTTGTCTCTAGCAACAATTTTTGTTTAAAAGTTTATTTTGTCCAATATCAGTATAGCTACTTCAACTTTTTTTTAAGTTACTATTTGCATGGTATATCTCTTTCCGTGCTCTTACTTTCAATCTTTTTGTGTCTTTGAATCTCAAGTGTGTATTTTATAGATGGCATATAGTTAGATATTTTTAAATTTTATTTTTATTTACTTATTTTAATTTTTAAATTTATTCTGCCAATCTGTTTTTTGATTGGAGTGGTTAATCCATTTACATGTAATGTAATTATTGATAAGGTAGGATTTTTATCTGCCATTTTATTTATTTTCTGTATGTCTTGTGTCTTTTCATTCCTCTATTTCTCCATTTCTACTTTCTTTCATGTTAAATAGATAATCTCTAGTGTACATTTTAATTTCCTTGTTATTTATTTACTAGGTATACTTTATTTTCTTAGTGGTTGCCCTGGGGTTGATAATTGCCATTTTAATATGAAATAATCTAGTTCAGATTAATATGAATTTAATTTTAAAGGTATATGAAACTTTTGCACTTATACAACTCTATTCCCTCCACAGTCCTTTGTGTGTTATTGTCATACAAACACATTTTATATATTGTATGCCCACCAGTACAGACTTGTAATTATTAACTTTATGTAGTTAATCTTTAAATCATGTTTTAAAAATGAGTTATAAACAAAAAATAAATTAATACTGTCTTTTATTTTTACTTAGGTAGGTACCTTTATTAGTGCTTCTTATATCTTCCTGTGGATTTGAGTTTCTGTCAAGTATCCTCTCATTTTAGCCTTAAGAACTCTCTTTAGAATTTTTATAGAGTAAATCTGCTTGTGA